TTTAGAACTGACATTTTCAAAAATCTTCAAGATCCCAAAGACTTAATTAATATTAACAAAATTGAAGTTAGAACGTCTGGACCAGAGTGGCAGTTAAAAAAGGTGTTTATTCCTCCATTTTGAATTTATCTATTTAAGTTAGATTAGCGTTAAAAAAATGCACCCAATTTTTGTCTTCTTTCATTAAATTACATTTGGTACGCATTTAGGTTACAGTTATGACTGGAAAAGGAGAAAAATATGAATTTATTGGTGATTTTTGGTTGAAGACGGACAAGAACTATCTCATTTTTTCAGGTGAGTGGGTTTTTTGAGGGTTAGTTAGGGTTAGTTAGGGAGAATTTATGCTGGCTAAAAAGTCGTCGCTATGGGGCCAAGATTAAACTTCACAATTTCGAAGTTGAAATAATTTTTTTAAGTAACTTTATCGTTTATTTTTCTGAACTTTTTTACGACGGTTGAAAAAGTCACTATCCAGTGGTTATAACTTTATCCACCTTTTGAACAACCGGCCCCTGGTATCCATATGTAACTAGTATTTTCTCCTATCCTAATCTATGTGACTGATGTGACGGTGTCCTCTCATCTTTAGTTCCGAGTACAAACGTTCTTCCACTGGCGCCTGTCACTGTACCAAAAGGTAGGTTGGTGCGTGACATAAATCATACGACGTTTTTTGTAATGTGTATAACAAGGGGGAATTTCGTTTTAGACCAATCAGCAAGTTTTTTTACATTTTCTGTAACCCAATCAGAATGCATAAATTTTGACTACTTCCGGTAAAAAGGCGAATTATTTACCATTTTACATGAAGTATTAAAAATTTAGGCATTCTAATTGGCTTTGCCTAAAAAATTTAAACAACAGTGCCGATTAGTTGAAAGCGAAATTCCCTCTTGTTGAAGTGTATAAAAAATGTATTACTTTTCATGTATTGGAAATTGTCACGGATATATTACTCCCATATCTCTGAGTAGACTTTGCTTAAAGCATGGGTGCCATTAAATGAAAGCAAATGATACCACTCGACTATTCGTCTATAATAAATATAACATAATAAATGTAATAAATTGAGTTCAATAATTGACCTTGCCAATTTGCAAAAAAAGCTGCGGGTACGCGGGTACCACCCGGAGGAAGGTTTTCTTTGAATGAGATTTGTGAGGAAGATTCAAAGCTGAACGCTTTAATTGATCATATGCATGTAACAAAAAACCAAATATTTCTTTCTGCCGGTTTCCACTTGGCTCAGTGGAAACCCATTTTGAGGAAGATATTCAAAACTTGAAATCCTACCGGAGGAAGGATGAACTCTTTTTGCAGCTCTGGCAAAGAGCTTCTAGAAACAGGGTATCATTATTATTTGATATTTTGTTAACACATTAAACATGCAATTGAAATCATGAAATGATCTTCCGTTCACTCAGTTTCACGCATAAAATATTGAATATGTAATATAGAAATTTTTGAATGCTTTTCAGCACGCACGCTAAAAATAGCAGACCATAAATGCATCATAATAAAATGTCAAAACATTCAAAGATTGCAAAAAAACTTGAAAATAATGCAAATAGTACCAGGGGAGAATAAAAGGATTACAGGTAGAATATTCAGCCCAAATCAAATCGAATTCGGGTTTCCATTTCAAAAGTAGAAATATAAATAAGTACGAAATACGAATAGCCGATGCATTCATGTAAACAAAACATTTATACAAACAATGTTTTAAATATTTGCAATAAGGTTCATACTCGTAATCCTAGAGACTACCAGAATGCATCAGTATCCAGCAAAAATAAAATTGAAACTGGGCTTCGCACTCAGAAATTGTTTAACGTAGAAAAAAAAATATCTGCACTGTAGTCATGACAAAATGTACTCTAAATGACTGTATAGGTCTATAGTTGTTGAACTGAAAGTTCTCAAAATAACCGGTGCATCCATGGCGAAAGACCGGTAGGATTTAAACAGGATTTAAATCACTGTAGAACAAGACTAGTTCTGTGTACATACGTACGCACCATATAATGCATTGCGCTTGAGCTCTGTTAGCCACCAAACTATGGGGCGCGCTCAGGCTCGCCCCAATAAACGTAGCTACTTAATTTTTTGGCATATGTAAAAACAAGGTTCGTGCAAGGATAGAAAATACTCATGCAGATGTCATCATCGAAAAGACGAATTTTCTGCATCAAAAGGGCGATTAAGCGGTGAAGACTCTTGGCGTCCCATACTATTAGTTGGAAGAACGGGGAGAAATTGCATCAATTGTTTCTTTTAGATATTATGTACGTATCTTACGTTATTGCATTTCTTACAACAAGGTTTTCGCAACACCAGTGAGGCTCCATTTGGAGTAGAGGATGGAAGAATAAAGAATTCCCAGATGTCATCATCAACTGATGAAAATGGAATCTCTGCATCAAAAGGAAGATTAAATGGTGCACTCTCTTGGTATTCCACAAATAATGATCAGAACCAATGGCTCCAAGTCGATCTGGGCAAAAAGGAACTTGTTACAGCAATTGCCACTCAAGATTCTGGTGATAGTTATTGGGTGAAGACCTTTTCGATCTCTTACGGTGTGGATAAAGAAAGTCTCACTTTGTACAAAATGAATGCAACTCAGAAGGTTACCAGCAAACGTGATGATAATCCTATTATTATATTATTATTCTGCAAACAGTCAGAGCCAATGGCTTCTTGTGGTTTTTCTTGCAAAAGGAACCTGACACACAATTGTTACCACTCCCTCTAGGTTCCAAGTTCTCTCTAGATTAATTTCGAATCACTGACTTTAGAGCTATTCTGAGACTACTTTTTGATCTAGGAATGAAAATTGAAATAAATCACCACAACTGCAAAACGTGTACTAAAATAATAAGTTGCGAAATGTTGTAAAATGTGCAACATATGCCTCTCAAAGTTTGCAAATTTTTAATATTCTATTACCTACAGCGGTTGTTAATACCCCCCTCCCCAATGTATCTTAGTAGTTTTAATGCGATCTGTTTATCTGTCGTGATATATTTTATATCTTTAATTTTTTTCCTTAATCAAAGGTATTCTGTAATGTAAAAGTTCAATTTTATGAACCATTTATAATTTATAAAGGTATTCTCTGGAAATTATGACAAGGATTCTGTCGTGATAAATCTCTTATATCCAGTAATAAATGCGCGTTATATTCGCATACACCCAGTGTCCTGGTTTAATTACATATCCTTGAGAATCGAAGTTAATGGTTGCTACACAGGTAAATAATACTCAACATTGAGCATGTCTAACTTGTTTCCACTCTCTCGTTCACCTTCAACACGCACGTCCCTAATTAACTCCAACAAAGCATTGGATTGTGGAAGAGTCGGGTGGGGTGAATTATTACTTTTATGATAATATTCAGCTGATGTGGGTATAAAAATCAACCAATCAGAAACCAGATCCTCGACAAAATGGAATTATAATTTCCTTCATTTCATATGACATCAGCGCTGGAAAATTTTAAGTAATTCTATTATTTCTATGCGGAAACATATTTGTTTTGCTGTGATCTAGATTTGGAATTTAAATTTTTCGCCCTTTACATTATTAGTTGAAATAATGGGGAGAAATTACTTCGAGTTATTCTCTTAGACATTATGCACGTATCTTACTTTTTTGCATTTTTTACAACAAGGTTTTTGCAACACCAGCGAGGTTCCACTTGGAGTAGAGGATGGAAGAATAAAGAATTCTCAGATGTCATCATCAACTGAACAAAATGGATTTTCTACATCAAAAGGAAGATTAAACAGTGCAGACTCTTGGTGTCCCACAAATAATTATCAGAACCAATGGCCGGCTCCAAGTCGATCTTGGCAAAAAGGAACTTGTTACAGCGATTGCCACTCAAGGTTCTGGTCATAGTTATTGGGTGAAGACTTATTCGTTCTCTTACGGTGTGGATAAAGAAAACCTCACTTCATACAAAATTAATGCAACTCAGAAGGTGAGCAGCCAAAGATATAATAATCCTATTATTATATTATCATCGTACAAACAATCAGAGCTAATGACTTTTTCAGGATTTTTTATGGAAAGGAAACTAACACACAATTGGTACGCACTATCCCTCTCAATTACTTTCAAATCAAAATAAAAATGAAAACTCGAATAAATCACCACAGCTAAAAAAGTGTACTAAAATTACTAAGTTGTTAAAAAACAAGACATAGAATTCAGGTGATATTGACAATGACTTTGAAATAGACACTCGAAATGTCACCGAAATGTTTTTGTCTATTAAAGAAACTCATGGATCTTGTTTTAACAAGGTTTTTTTTTCGGTAGTCAAAATTAGTTCATAATGCAAAAGTTCAATGTTACCCATCTTTATAATTTATAAAGGTATTCGCTGGAAATTATGACGAGGATTCAGTCGTGACAAATCTCTTATATCCAGCAATAAATGCGCGTTGTATTCGCATACACCCAGTGTCTTGGTTTAAAGACATATCCATGAGAATCGAAGTTATTGGCTGCCACACGTGCACAGGTAAATAATACTTAACACTGACATCTTTCCAGTCCCTCGTTCACCTTCAATTCGCACGTCCCAAACTAACTCCAACATAGTGTTGGATTGTGGGTGAAAAGTCGGGTGGGGTGAATTATTATCCTTCATGATAATATCCAGCTGATCTGGGTATAAAAATCAACCAATCAGAAACCATATTCTCGACAAAACTGAATTATCATTTCCTTCATTTCATATGACATCAGCACTGGAAAATTCTAAGTAATTCTATTATTTCTATGCGGAAACACATTTGTTTTGCTGTAATTTAGAATTTAAATTTTCTCCTTTCACATTATTAGTTGAAATAATGGTGAGAAATTTCGGGTTATTCTCTTAGATATTATGCACGTATCTTACTTTTTTGCATTTCTTACAACAAGGTTTTTGCAACACCAGTGAGGCTCCATTTGGAGTAGAGGATGGAAGAATAAAGAATTCTCAGATGTCATCATCAAGTGAAAAAAACGGATTTTCTACATCAAAAGGAAGATTAAACGATGTAGACTCTTGGTATTCTACAAATAATGATCAGAACCAATGGCTCCAAGTCGATCTTGGCAAAAAGGAACTTGTTACAGCGATTGCCAGTCAAGGTTCTGGTGATAGTTATTGGGTAGAGACTTATTCGATCTCTTACGGTGTGGATAAAGAAAACCTCACTTCATACAAAATTAATGCAACTCAGAAGGTGAGCAGCCAAAGATATAATAATCCTATTATTATATTATCATCGTACAAACAATCAGAGCTAATGACTTTTTCAGGATTTTTTATGGAAAGGAAATTGACACACAATTGTTACGCACAATCCCTCTAAATTACTTTCAAATCAAAATAAAAATGAAAACTCGAATAAATCACCGCAGCTAAAAAAGTGTACTAAAATATTAAGTTGTTAAAAAACAAGACATAGAATTCAGGTGATATTGACAATGACCTTGAAATAGACACTCGAAATGTCACGGAAATGTTTTTGTCTATTAAAGAAACTCATGGATCTCAAAATTAGTTCATAACGCAAAAGTTCAATGTTACCCATCATTTATAATTTATAAAGGTATTCGCTGGAAATTATGACGAGGATACAGTCGTGACAAATCGCTTATATCCAGCAATAAATGCGCGTTATATTCGCATACACCCAGTGTCTTGGTCTGATTACATATCCTTAAGAATCGAAGTTATTGGTTGCTACACAGGTAAATAATACTAAACACTCACATCTTTCCAGTCCCTCGTTCACCTTCAATTCGCACGTCCCAAATTAACTCCAACATGGCGTTGGATTGTGGGTGAAAAGTCGGGTGCCGTGAATTATCATCATAAGATCCTTTAAACAACATAACATTTTGTGAAAAAAATTCTTCTTGTAACTTCGATTTTACACATTATATATAATTGATCCTGATTCTATTTTTTTTACTGTCATCCGATCCCAGTTCCAGGTCTCCATTGTTGCATGAGTTGGTATGTAAAATTAATTCGCTTGACATCTTCAAGTGACCAATGCACGCATTGATCGAAAAAGTGATTCTCTTAGATCTTACATACGTTCTTACTTTTTTGCATTTCTTACGACAAGGTTTTTGCAACACAAGTGAGGTTCCACTTGGAGTAGAGGATGGAAGAATAAAGAATTCTCAGATGTCATCATCAAATCATGAAAATGGATTTTCCACATCAAAAGGAAGATTAAACGGTGCATACTCTTGGTATCCTACATATGATGATCAGAACGAATGGCTCCAAGTCGATCTTCGCAAAAAGGAACTTGTTACAGCGATTGCTACCCAAGGTTCTGGTATTGCTTTTTGGATGAAGACTTATTTGATCTCTTACGGTGTGGATAAAGAAAACCTCACTTTATACAAAATTAATGCAACTGAGAAGGTGAAAAGCTAAAGACATAATAATCCTATTATTATATTATTGTACAAAGAGTCAGGATTTTTTTCAGCGCGCTTTTTCTTCACTCTGGCAACATTTCCGCGTGTTTGGATCAGGTCATCCAAACACGGAAACCATCAAGTAATTTTTTTATTCCAGTCAGCAGCTATTATTCAATCAAATTGCTATCCACTCTTAACTATCTTTTTTTGCAGCGAGTTTTTTTTCTGATCATAAAATGTGATCCAGTCTTTGCCAATGTCCTGATTTTATGACCTTATTGTAACACTCACTGTGTTTCCACCATCTGACGAAATTTCCTGACATAATGACACAGCAAGGGCTTTTTTCTACACAGGGTGTATAAAAAAGGAACCTTTAGAAATTAAACTATTGTTATAATTTAAATGCCTGGTCAATTTTTCCAAACCCACGCGTGCGCAAACATGCACAATCGAATAAAATCTAATGCATAGCACGAATTATTACTGCTCATTAATTTCACACCGTCGTTGTTCAGGTTCGATCGATCAAGAACCTTTCTCAAAAAGTGTTTTGTACCACAGCTGTACTTTACATCTGGATAAAAGTCTGGGCAATAAAAACTCTTTTTTGACCATGCATTATTGTGCACAATTTTGCTTTTAGAAGTTATGTAAAATTCCCAGGAGAAGAAAGGCTTTTTATCTTGTAACAAAGATCTGTATACATATCTGCACATATATCTGCACATATAATATATCTACAAAGCTGACAATATTTTACAAATCCAAAGGCTTAGCATATCGATGGGACTGTTAAATTATAACAATTGATTAATTTCTAAACGTCTTCTTTTTTTATTCGCTCTGTAGTCTTCGCTAAAAAATTTTGCCTCTTTTTTCATCATTCCCTCACCTAGTATGACGATTTGTGGCATTAATAAGTGCTAAAAATGTGATGATTTGCCGGAGTTATGGTTAATTGCTGGATAATACTTGAAGGATTTTGGTCTGAAGTTTTATACATAATGTCACGAAGCGTCAAGATGGGTGAGGTTTATGGTGGAATCTCTGGTTATACATTAGTTGTGTTACAAAGTGTGACATTAGTTGTTGGCTCCCGCGCGGTCGGTATGTTGATTTTAGAATTACTTGATTCAAATTAGTCAACAAAGAACGTGACAATCAATCCCGTTCGAAAAAATTAATATTCTATATTGTCATTCAGTCAACGATAGACGCTTTTAGGCAGGGACGCCTGAGCCATGGGCAGCCGGGCGACTTCCCCATTTGTCCTATGCTTACTGAAGCATGCGGGAGCAACTGCGCTTTGCTACTTTGATGCTGCTTTGAAATTTAAGCTAATCTTTTAAAATTTAATATAAAGAGACCCAAGTGAAATATGAAACAGTGAAAGTACAGCGACCATTCAACATTTCCTTTCAGGAGTTTCATGGAAATACGGACGGAAATTCTGTTGTGAAAAATGTCTTATCACCAGCTGTGACAGCTCGTTATATTCGCATACACCCAAAGACATGGATCATTTACATTTCCTTGAGAGTGGAACTTTATGGTTGTCAAAAAGGTAAGATTAAAAGCAGTGCAGGAAGAAGTTTGCAAATATTAATTGTAAATTTGAAAATTTTTTTTAATTGCGTTTTTATAAAATACCCTGAAAAGAAAGTGTGAAATTTTTCGACAAATAACAAGGTTTTTTGGACTAGCAATAGACGTTCTTGAGACGAATATACAATACGAAGCTGAAGGGTGCATGCTAACCTGTTATCCTGGGACATCTCCTGATGTACCTTGTTGATCTGATAATGCACCAATTGATTCTTGACTTGGGCACGGTCAGGATCTCGCGAGAATTGGCAGTCAACACCATTACTTACATATAAGATCGCAAAGTTTTAAGTAAGTCTATTATTTCTATGCGGAAACACATTTGTTTTCCCACTTTAATGTAAATTAGAATTTACATTATCTCCCTTCATACTATAATTCGGAAAAACAGGTGAAAATTATTTAGATTATTCTCTTAGATTTTATGTACGTGTCTTACTTTTTTGCATTTCTTACAACAATTAAGGTCCTTGCAACACCAAAGAGGTTCCACTTGGAGTAGAGGATGGAAGTATAAAGAATTATCAGATGTCATCATTTAAACAAAATGAATATTCTGCATCACAAGGAAGATTAAATGGTGTAGACTTTTGGTATCCCAGAAATAGTGATCTGAACCAATGGTTCCAAGTCGATCTTGGCAAAAAGGAATTTGTTATAGCGATTGCCACTCAAGGTTCTGGTTCTAATCATTATTGGGTCGAGACTTATTCGATCTCTTACGGTGTGGATAAAGAAAACCTCGCTTCATACAAAATTTATGCAACTCAGAAGGTGAGCAGCTAAAGAGATAATAATCTTATTATTGATATTATTATACAAGGAGTTTTTTCAGCGCGCTTTTCTTAACTCTCGCAAAACTCCTGCGTGTTTTGATCAGGCCATCCAAAACAAGGAAACCATTAAATAATTGTCTAATCCAGCACAGCTATTATTCAATCAGATTGCTGTCCACTTTTAACTATCTTTAGCAGACAGTTTCCAGAGGGAAATGAATTTTTTTTTCTGATCATTAAATGTGATCAAGTCGCAGCCAATGTCCTGATTTTATGACCTAATTGTAACACTCACTGTGTTTCCACAATCTGACGAAATTTCCTGACATAATGACACAGCAGGGGCTTTTTTCTATACAGGGTGTATAAAAAAAGAAAGACCTTCAGAAATTAAACTATTGTTATAATTTAAATGCCTGGTCAATTTTTCCAAACCCACGGGTTTGCAAACATGCACAATCGAATAAAATCTAATGCATGGCACGAATTATTACTGCTCATTAATTTCACACCGGCGTTGTTCAGGTTCGATCGATCAAGAACCTTTCTCAAAACGTGTTTTGTACCACAGCTGTACTTTACATCTGGATATAAGTCTGGGCGAAAAAAACTCTTTTTTGACCATGCATTATTGTGCAGAATTTTGCTTTTAGAAGTTATGTCAAATTCCCAGGAGCAGAAAGACTTTTTGGCTCATAACAAAGATATGTAATATTTGCACAACGCTGACAATATTTTACACATCAAAGGCTTAGCATAGTGATGGAAATTATAGCAATTGATTAATTTCTAAAGATCTTCTTTTTTATACACTCTGTAGTCTTCGTTAAAAAATTTTTAATCCTTTTTCATTATTGCCTTATAAGGAGGTCTGATATAAAAAAAAACCTTACCTACTATGACGATTTGTGGCATTAATTAGCCATTTCCCAATCGAGCAGGGTACTGGGTCTAGTCACGAATCGCAAAGCATCTATGGACTGTTTGGAGGGACAGGAAATATAAGTCTGAAATCATTTGTCCCTCCAAACAATCTATAGATGCTTTGCGGTTCGCGACGAAACCAGTACCCTGCTCGATTAAAAAATGGCTAATTAATTAAGTACTAAAACTGCGATGATTTGCTGGAGTTATGGTTAATTGCTGGATAATACTTGAAGGATTTTGGTATGAAGTTTTATACATAATGTCACGAAGCGTCAAGATGGGTGAGGTTTATGGTGGAATCTCTGGTTATTCATTAGTTGCGTTACAAAGTGTGACATTAGTTGTCGGCTCCCGCACGGTCGGTATGTTGATTTTAGAATTACTTGATTCAAATTAGTGAACAAAAAATGCAACAGTCAATCCCGTTCGAAAAAATTAATAATGTATTCTGAGCCATGAGGCAGAGAGGGCGACTTCCCCACTTGTCCTCTGCTTACTGAGGCATGCTGGGGCACCTGCGCTTTTGCTATTTTACAATATTTTAAAATTTAATATAAAGACGCCCAAGTAAAATATGAAACAGTGAAAATACAGCGACTATTCAACATTTCCTTTCAGATGTTCGATGGAAATACGGACGGAAATTCTGTTGTGACAAATGTCTTATCACCAGCTGTAACAGCTCGTTATATCCGCATACACCCAAAGACATGGAACAAAAATGGCATTTCCTTGAGAGTGGAACTTTATGGTTGTCAAAGAGGTAGGATTAAAAGCAGTGCAGGCAGAAGTTGGCAAATAGCAATTGTAAATTTGTAAATTTTCTTAATTGCGTTTCTATAAAATACACTGAAAAGTGAGTGTGAAAATTTTCGACAAATAAAAAGGTTTTCTGCACTAGCAATAGACGTTCTTGGGACGAATATACAATACGAAGCTGAAGAGCGAATGCTAATCTGTTATTGTTGGACATCTGCTGATGTATTTTGTTGATCTGATAATGCGCCAATTACGCCCAATTGAATCTTGACCTGGGCACAGTCAGGATCTCGCGCGAAGTAGCCGGGCTAGCTCGCTTTGCCGGGCCAGTTTATTTTCTGATTCACATGGGGCGGGCTTGCCTGGTAGCGTTACGTAGTTAATTCACTGATGCGCGGTAAAGCGGGAAATACAAATTGCTGTTTACACAATTGGGAAAATGTTGCTTGCATCGATTACAGTTTTCGGTGGGTTTTTTTCGTTAATTTTTCAAATTCATATGTTCTTTTGGTTTGCAAAATACATATATATAAGATGGAGAAATGATGCTATGATGGCATGTTTGTGAAGAAAGCGATCAGCGATTTTCAGCCCGGCTTACCGGGCTAAGGCCCTTTATATATTGAGCCAGGCTGGGCCGCTTTGCCGGCTGATTCGCCAGAGGTGAGATCGCCCTTCCTAACTTGTTTCTATATGTTTTTCAAATTTGATTCACATGGAAAGTGGGCCAGCCCGCTTTGCCAAGATCTCGCTTGAGCGAGGCGAGATCTCGGCAATGACGGGCTCATATAAACGCACAATAGGCGGGTTATGAATATAGGATCGCAAGCGAAAAGCAACCTCGCGACTGCCTCCCCGGGTGGGTGGGGGCATTATCACAGAGGAGAGATGGACAGAGAGTCAACTCTTCCGATTTAATGTTTAAACGAGTGTCCCCGAGTTTTGCCTAATGCACGTCATTCTCACGTCATTTCCACGCGCCATGCAACCACCCGATTCTCTTCTGGTAAGCTCTTTCGGCCAAATTTCAAAACAAAAGTATAAAAAAAACGCTGTTCGAGAGGTGAAAAATTGATTTTTTTTTACTGGGTCGGATTATCTTCATTTTTGGGCTAAAATTTTGGAGACGAACGGTAAGTTGTTTGTTTTTTTGGGTTTAAATGATCGTACTGTTTTTAAAAGCAGTATTAAAATCCTTGTTTTGTAAGTGAGTTCTGATTACCCTTGTCGACTGCCATATTTTTACCTGAATTGTCAAATTGTGTTTGCCAAAGCGAAACGTTCTCAGAGCTGCTTTTTTATTGTTTGTCAACTAGCAGAAGAGCGTTTGCATATTTGTGGGATAACAATATAGGACGAATTTCAAGGATTTAAATTCGCGTTTTCATTTTAAAATATCGACAAAATACATTGCAAAATATTTCAAAACAAAACAGAGTTTTAGGCGTTGTATAGCTTTAACTCGCAGAGGATATCAGTTTTTTAATAATTAGTACAATTTGATGATACAAACATTCACTGAAAACATTCATAATTATGTATCTTTACTTCTCAAGCGGAGTTGCCGTTCGATTACATATAGTTTTTCAGTCATTTTTCAAACTTTTTTGATCAAATTTTCACCAAGCATGTCATCCCTGGGCTTTCTAAAGAAAATATATTTTAGCTCTTACCTTACACTACAAAAAACGTTTGGAACATTTCAGCCAAAGCGGCTAAATTTTTTTAAATTGCATTTTTTCTAGCAAAAATTCCATTTTTCCTTATTAAAAATGTGCTCGGAGCTTACCAGAAGGGAATCGGGTGTAAACGCTTACTAGCGCGCGCGAGTAAAAAAGTGGGGACGCGTGGAGCCGCGAGTCGACTCTCTGTCCATCTCTCCTCTGTGGCATTATCGTTCCAAGACTATTGGGGATTTCTTTTAATGCCATTCAAATCTACAAACTGCTGCTCGCTGTAATCATAAGAGTCTTACCAGAAATACATGCATGCAAAGTCCCCGTGCCTGAAGCAATAAACATATATTTCCATCACTGAAATTCTATAATACTCATTTCTGCTGAATGATCGAAGTCGTAAAAAAACAAAGATAAAATAATTCGGCTATAATCATAATTGTTCTACGAATAGTTTTAAAATTAAATACTACAATTTTTAGCGAAATTTCAATTACTCTTTAAACAGATTCACCTTTAAAAATAAATACTTTTATTTCAACGCAACTGACGAATAAATTCAAAGAGGTGTCATACAAAGTAAATCCACATATTAAATTTACAAAACACTTGCATGCTTTGAAATAAAAAATCTACCCATTTACCTGTTCAAAAAAACTCTAAAAATGCTTCAAAATCGTAGATTTTTTACCATCCATTTGAATGAAAGTTTTTCTATCCAATGGCATCTTTTACATTATATTTTAATCAATTTTACGAGTCAATTTTTCGTATATTTTTAAGACCATACAAATGAAAAATACTATTTAAAAAAAAGTTTTATAATACAAAATATCAGTTATGCTGACGTTAACCCATATTTTAATTTAGCCAATCGCACGTTTGTAAACGTTTGCTAGTTACCAGTTTTAACTCGTTTTAACGCATGTACATAACTTACAAAAACACCCAACGTCCATGACAAAATGGCGGACAACTTTCATTTCACATCTGCATTCCCGGGCGAAATTAAAATCTCCTGGCGGATTTAGCACCCTCGCCCGGTGCTTCAGTGGTTATATTAGCTCATTAACAGTAGTTATTAATTTCTTTGAAACTAGTCATGTATATCTAGCGCTTGTGTGATATGCAACTAGTCTTATGACTTTTATCCTGCACAGGTTTAAATTTTTAAAACACTCTCTAGTGAATGCAATTCCTTGCAAAGCTGGTGAAAAGACACTTGGCGTGGAAGATGAGAAAAAAGTTAAAGATTCACAATTGACTTCTTCGAGTTATTGGAAAAGTCACTCAGCAGCTTATGGACGATTGTACAACATTAGAGAATGGAAAGAAATAATTTGGGGAACAAAAGCAGGATGGATAGCAATAGTGGACGACCAGAACCCGTGGATACAGGTTGATCTTGGCAATAAGGAAGTTGTCTCAGGGATTGCCACTCATGGAGGATATTATTATTATAAACATTATTATGGTTATTGTTGGGTGAAGACCTATTCTGTGAAGCATAGTCTGAATGGAACAACATTCGAGTCTTACAAAGATGAGGGTGATGATAAGGTGAGAATTATTGCACTGCAGGACTTATAAAAAAATACAGTTAATAAAGTCTGGGGCAGGTTATTGGAGGGCTACCGATATAGGAAGGCTCGATACAGTTTCTCGAAATTTTTTATTGCATATTTTAAACAGGGATATCGAGCATCTAAATCTTTCGCTAGAGGACTAAAAGTTAATGTACTGTGGAGGAAACATGTTTAGAGCGGAAATCTATTCAGAACTTGTTCCTGCCGCCCGTTACCATTACAACAGAATGGTCGCCAAACAAGGTTTAATCGTGTTTATATCGCACGAGTTCGGTGACCCTTGATTACTTTTTTGTATTAAATGTTTACGCCATAGATGCTTTAGCTATCAAACGTTTTAAAAAAGTTCTTTCATGGAAATTTTTTCTATTTAAAAAAGGTTATTTTAGCTTATTAAGAAACTTCCCCATGGCAGAATTTTTTTAAAACTTTTTATAGATAAAACACCTATAGCGTAAATGTTTAATACAAAAAAATTGGGGACACCGAACTCGTTTGGAATGTAAACCAGTGGCGTAGCCAGCCTGACAATTTAGTCATGCTATGCAAATTTTATGTTATTATCATTATTCATTTCTTTAGAAATTCATTGTTTTCACAGTCGATGAACACCAAAATATTAGCATAGCATGACTAAATTGTCGGACTGGCTACGCCACTGATGTAAACACGTGTTACGCAAGGCTTTATTGAGTTTAGAGATATGCATATAAAAATAGCTGTAAAAATAGGAATATCAATAGCATGACAGGGATTAGTGAATGATTTTTGCCACAAGACGCCAGAGTAAATATCATTTTCAGCCATTAACAAACATTAATCGCCTTTCCCTTTTATGTATGACATATCGTGGGATTAAATAAGTAATAAGGTGAAAATATTTATCACCCTCTCAGAACTAATACCTGGATAAACAGTCTTAAGTCGTCACTTATCTTAATGGTCACATTTTATAAAAAATGTGCGTGCTGTAGGCCATTCAAGTTCTTATGTCAATCAATTGTGTTAAAAATGTTGCTCGGTCAAACATGTAATAGATTACGTCATCAAAAGTTCAATTCGATAAAATAAGAGTGAAAATAGTTTAAGTTAAAAGATATTGTTCACAGAGGTATTGTTTGTAAATTTTACTAGTTGTTGATGATGAATATTTTAAGTTATGAACATTTTTAAGTATTGATCGATTGAGCAACAGTGCGACAACGCCTTAAACAAACAAGATATGAGAGCTGGAACGAGCTTCTAGACCAGCCCACATTTCTAACTTACAACGCTGATTGGTTGGATAAGAATCAGCCACTCTGGTTTATGACGTCTGCAAGTTTCCCTCAACCGTTACTATAAAAGGACGTGCACAACACCCCAACCTTCAGGGGCCGGTTGTTCAAAAGCCGGTTAACGCTAACCCAGGGTTAAAAATGCCTAACCCAGGGTTAAATGTTAAACCTTGGTTAATTTGCGTTGCACAAAGCTCGGTTAGCGTTAACCCTGGGTTAAAATTGATAAAAAAATTAACCCTGCTAGCTAGGTGGTTTAAAATTTTAATCCTAGGTTAAGTGCAAAATAACATGGCGGATGTTTTACAGTTTGTTGTACCAATACGGAATTTTCCTCGCAGACAAAGGCGATATCGTCACGATAACGTGAACATTCGAGGTTTAACTGATGCGGAATTGCGAATTAGATACAGATTTGGTTACCAAGCAATAAATTACATTACAAATTTGCTATACGATGACCTTATTCGTGACACTAAAAGAAATTTTTCACTAATTCCCGACGTCCAAGTTCTCATCGCACTACGGTTTTTCGCAAGCGGAAGCTTCCTACAGGTTATCGGAGACACATTTGGCGTTGACAAGTCCACCGTATCGCGAGTAGTTCGTGACGTATGCCTTGCTCTATCAAACAAACGAGAACAGTTCATTCGTTGGCCTTCAAATCAAGAAAAAGAGAAAATAAAGAACGGGTTTTACGACATGGCCAATTTTCCTGGCGTTATTGGTTGTATCGATTGTACGCATATTCGAATCCAGGCACCACATCTAAACGAGAATTATTACGTCAATCGGAAACGCTATCATTCTATTAATGTTCAAGCAATTTGCGACGATCGAGGTAAATTATTATACTCTATATGTACCAATTATAGTTACAATTACTATAGTAAAGTAGGGATACTGTTAATACTGGTGGAATGCATGGAATACAGTCGAAAAGCAAACATTCTTCACATTTCATTTAGGAAAGTTCATAAATCTGGTTGCCCGATGGCCTGGAAGTGTCCATGACAGCCATATATTTCGAATGTCACAGATACAACAGTTTATAGAGCAGCATCACACATCACTGGAAGATGGGATCATATTGGGAGATAGTGCATGGTTACGCCTTAAAACCCTACCTTATGACACCTTACACAGACCCTACTACAGCAAAGGAAAGAGCATTTAATCGGTCTTTGAAGAAAACACGCGTATTGATTGAGCAAGTGTTTGGGCGATGGAAGAGAAGGTTCCACCTACTGCATTCAGAGATCAGAATGGAACCAGAGAAAGTCTGCTTGTTAATTGGTGCTTGTGCTGTCCTTCAGAATATTGCAATAATGTTTAATGAGCCAGATGAAGAAGAGGATGTTGATCTAGAAGAACCAGATCCAGAGGTTGAACCACAGTTGGCCATGACACAGGAAGGCAAATCAGGGCACATATCACAAATAACTTTTTTTAATTGAAATATGTACCATGCATGCATATATGCCACACAACAATTTACAATACATTTTTCCTGAAATTATTTCAATATTAGAATTGGGAAATACAAGATAATTAAGCACATTCTATAGTAACTTATATTATACACAACAGCACTAGCTGGGGCCCCAAAACAAGAGGTATGTCTGAAAGATCTTGCAATATTTATTTATACATATTTGAATTATTGGCTGCAGCAAACCTTTCAACATTAAATGATTGACCTAGAACCTATAATAAAACTGGTCCCACTGTAACACAAATGCTGTAATAATGAAATACAAGTAATATTCTCAATAATGTAATTAATTTACTGTGTACACTTATAGTACACAATGATTTCAAGCAATGTCCATGTCACCCCCGATATAAATATTATAAATCCCTCAATTAAAAATTGCCATTGCTACTGCCATTTGCCCTTTCTTTCAACTCCGCTACTTGTAGTTTCAGTCTCTCATTTTTCAGCAGAATCATTTCCTTTTGCACCTTGAGGACTTCGTATTGCATCTCAAGGACAACTTGCTGGTTAACCTTTTTTTTCAGCTTTGACTTATTTTGAGTTGTTTGGGTGCCAACTGGTAGGGGTGTAGGTTTGGTATGCTGCTCCACATCAATTGGACCATAAACTGGTGTGAAAGAAGGTGGTGGTGTATTTAAATCGTCATCACTGTTATCAAGTTCACAGCTATCAGCTTCCCTTTGCACTTGTACAAAACCGTTACTGTTGGTGTAAACTTCATCGCGCAACAACGTTGCCGATTCCCCTAAACAAAAATTAAAAAATTATCGTATTAATATTGATTTCATTGTGCATGGAAGAAGTAAATAATAAAATTGCGTATATCAAAATGTATAATCGACTGACGACTGGTATCATGACATGCAAAATAATCTGCGACCTTGTGAGTTGTGAATTACTTTACTAAATTATGAAACATAAATACTTATCTTTTTCTGATATTACGGGTAACTACGAAAAATATCACGTCTTTGTAAATAATAAAGTTCGCCAATACTGACGAAAAGCCTTCTTTTACAGAAAACGGTTTCTTGTTGTTGTGTGCATGAATTGAGAGGCATTGGAAGCCTGGATACGGCAGCAAAACCTGCCTAAACTCGCCCATGAAATTTAAACTTACCGCTCGTTTCAAAGCCACTTAGTCCGGTAAAAGACGGGGCGTTTTCAAATAACCGAATGATCTTCTCCGTGGCTTTTTTGGGTTTCTTAACTGGTGGACCACCTCCTGTTTGTCCAAAGCTTCTCTTTTGCCGCGCGAACTCCTTCTTTGCCGTGGTTTGTAGGTTTTTCCACTTGTCCTTTATGTCTTGCACGGAGCGGTGAGCTATCCCGAGTGCGCTCACTTGCCCGGCAATTTTTGCCCATATTTCTTGCTTCCTTATATTTGTTATAGCGTTTTTGGAAGCTTTGACTGGATAATTTCTAGATTTTCTTCCACTAATTCCGTTATTATATTAATTTCCGATGTGGAAAAATTTAATTTTCTCTTTCTTTCATTTTGGCCTAAATTTTTTTCCGCCATTTTGATTTTCGCGCGCTTCTAAACCGTGGGTTAAATTTTTTAACCCAGGGATAACTAATCAACCCGCTAATCCACCTTCCAGCAACGCAGAATTAACCCAGGATTAACTAACCTAGGGTTAAGGAATTTAACCCAGGTTTAGCACTAATCCTGGGTTAGCGTTAACCGGCTTTTGAACAACCGGCCCCAGTGGACTAGCGGAGTAAAAACCTTTGAACGTTACGAAGCTCAACTTTACAGAACAGACAACCAAGACAAGAACCCAAAAATGACAAAGATCCCAAGTGAAGAGAAGAGCATCCAGAAAAGAAACTAACATTAATAAAAGTAGAAAATAAAAAACTTATAACACACGATTAAACCCTGTTTGGCGGCTATTTTGAAACGTCTCTTTTGCCATGGTAACGGATGCCAGGTACAAGTTCTGAATAGATTTCCGCTCTAGATATGTTTCTGCAAAGTATATGAACTTTTAGCCTTCTAGCGAAATATTTAGATGCTTGATATCCCTGTTTAAAATGTGCTTCTAAAAATCTCGAGAAACTGTACTGAGCCATACAAATATCATACTTATTCTCTCATAAAAATAAATCAATTATTTACTCTATAGTATCAGCTAACATATAGTTACTGGCTCAAAAAAAAGGCTCATATCACCGGGACATTAACCCAGGACATCGCCTTGGTAACGCGGCCAAATTTAATGTTGGGTTTAATGTCAATGTCACGAAACTAAACAGTAACGAAAGGTCCTACGAGGGTTTAAAATCGTTCATTCGGTGAAAAAGAACATTATTCACCATTTTACGTGAAGTATTGAAAAAAATCCGTGGCGGATGCCTTTGACCGGCATTTCACAATTGAAAAGAAAATCGAGCGAAAAATTCGTTCGATCGAAAATTATCGCCTAGTGGAAGAACGGCTTCAGTTTAAAACGAAATTCCTCGTTGTTTTCGTATATTGCACAGGTTTATGTAAAAGTATGTCTGTTGTTTGTTTGTCACTGAATGTACAGTACTATCATAGGAAGCCTGCATGGTCAAGATTATGATTTTCTAAACGGATTTGGGTAGGTTTTTATGATTTTCAAGATAATACATCAGTATTTAATTTGCAACTTTGTCTAGATATTTGATGGGAATAGTGACTGGGATACCATTGTGAAGAATGTCCTGTCTCCACCAATCACTGCTCGTTATATTCGTATACATCCAGAGTCTAGGCAATACTTCATATGCATGCGAATTGAGCTTTATGGTTGTTACTGAGGTATGTACTAAAATTATATACTTCATATAAATATCAGCTTGTTACAAAGGAAGCCAAAGTTACATGCCAGAGAATATATTTAGCTGCGTGGAACTGCGATATTTACCAACAAAATATCTTCATCATTGCATGGCATTTATTGCGTTTTTTACCACTGGTGCATCGTCGCGTCTGTAACGTTGTTTGCGATTTATTTTGAACAATTTGAATGTGTTTTCTTCAAACGTCAGATCTCAGACATGAAATATATACCACCCGATTTGTAGTTTTTATTGGCTCTGCAGCGCTACAACAACCTGAGGTTAACACCAAGTCTGTGTGTTGTTTCGGTTTAAAATTATGTAATTTACGCCTTATGTACAAAATATGCCAACTGTGGCGCCGGAACCACGGGAACAGCGAGAGTCAAACGCTTTCAGAGACAAGGGAGGACGTCCCGCGACCCTTTGCTGCAATAGAGCATCATGCTGTTATCAATTCATCCCATAATCAAATATGAAGTCATGTTAAAATGGTCGTAATGATAATATCATTAAAAACACGTCGTCTTGTGGATCTGTAAATGGTATGTACGTACGAATACGTTGAGATTCCTCCGCGTGTAATTGCTGAAGTAAAAAGACTGCGCTCTTTTCTAAAATTCTGTCCCTGCAGCCGCAGACTTCCTCAGGTGCCGAAACCCAAAAAACTCACCCAAACTGTTGACAGTTGGTAAACGTAAATACATTCATTGCTTTTCATTTGGCTTTTAAAAAAATTTACACAAATTTAACTTGAAAAACCTTATACATACGTTTTCTCATAGTTATAGAAACAGAATATCTAAGTTAGAATGCATTCCTTATATTTTATTGTAGCCCTGGACGTGGTGAATCTTATGAAGCAGTTGAATAATTATATGATTAGTAGATGATCAGTGAATGAACTGTTTGTGAAGTTAATAAGAGATAAGTATAAGTTAGTCATTAGCAATGCAGTGGCATCAAATACAATGACTATATTACAGTCAGATATACGAGCATGCGTAGAAGTAGTGTAGTATGATTGAATCTGAATTATTACTTAATAGTCTGTAATCCAACATGCACTGGTAATAAATTGTAATTAAATCAACAATTATACAAAAAAGATGGCGGTGTGTGCATTTCAAGCCGAAAATATGGTTGGGAAAACACAAGTTGTTTACCTTGTGTTAGTAATGACGTATTGTTGGTAATTTAACACGATAAAGAAAACAATGTCTGTCTTTCAAAGACGATGTTTCACAGTTCAGTATACACGAATGAGCATCCGCCATTTTGAGAATTGTTGATTGCACGAGTCATGCACTTGCAATTTTTGTTAAGTTTTTGAATGGTTTTTGCTGGAACAACATTATAAATTTCACAGCATCTTGATTTTGTTTTTTCTTCTGATCTTTCCGATCGAAACAGGAAGAAGAAATCTGTAGAAACGGATTTACAAGAATGAATAAATATCAAACGCATTTAATTTCACAACATCAGTTTCGGGAGGGAAGCAAAGTTGTGCATGCATTCGTCAAACACCAAAGACAAAGAAAGTTAGGAAATTGTACGCAAAAAGCTTCATTCCTCCAATTAAAATCTATTAAACGCTTTTAACTTCATAGCAAGGAATGAAAGTCGAACATCAATTGATAAAGTCTGAATTAGTCTTTTAGAAGAGCAGAAATTGCTGTATCGAAACTTTACTTTTTTCTCTTGCTATTTGTCGAAGTTACGCTAAACCGTACCTTGAGTGGCAAAGTTCTCCTTTGTTGAGGGGGCGGGGGATTTGGAGTCCATTAGATGTCGATTTGCAATATCTCTGGAAGGTCATGGAAGGCAGATGTCAAAGAATTTATTCAAAGATCTCTATTACTAAAAAAATTTTAGAAAATCTCCCAAGTTTTCGATTCGTTTAAAAAAATGCTTATGTGCTATGAATCTCAGTGCTATACATTTTCAGGGTATTTGGAATATTTTGTGCAGGAATTTTACAGCAAGCGCTGTTAGATAACAATTATTTTACACTGTTGTTTGGTGGCTATGAGATAGTGTTTTGCTCGTGCACGCATTCAGATACTGATGTGAATAGTTCATTACAATGACTGCACAGTGCTTCTTGTTTCGAATCAGTAATTTTGATTTGAAAACTAATTTAAAATAAAAAGAATTCCTAAAAATGAATAATTACAGCACAATATTTATACGTTTTCGTTTATCACTTTTCTTACGGCAGTTCAAGATAGAGAATTTTTGTCTTTTGTTTTTAAGTATTCCATGTTCGTTATTGTCCTAACTCAGGTGCGCATGCTTATCCCGTGGTCTTCCCGTTATCACCATTGTGTCGATCCAACATGAAGTAATCAGGTGAATTTGTGACGTCATCTCCTGAGAAATCGTACGATTTAAAGATGGCCTCCTGCTGTGGTCAAATTTCAACATAGTTCATTCAATACCAATGATGCCGCGAAAACTAGATTATGCAGGATAACTCTAACACAACATTCTCTGTTAGTTTGATTATGTTTCAAAGACAGAGAAACTGCTGGACCGAAATTATTTGAAAGCAAAAAAAGCCCACTCCTTGGAGCAATTTGAGGTAAAGTGAATATAGCCTGTGTTATCGTTGTGTTGTAATAAATTATATTCGTGTTGTCAATGGTCACAAGTTTATGCTCTCATGACACGTTATGTTGTTTAAAAGTTTTACAATGAGTATAGTTTGCAGGTTAGTCAAGTATTTTATAATGCTGTAACTCATTACCTGGGCCTGGGGCCAGTTGTACGACGGCTAGATATAAAGTAGAACTATCAAGTTTATAGTAATTCTTTAACCGTTGGCGTTGTAAAAATACTTGAAAAGCAATAAAATTACCGTTTTGGAGCTAACAATTATTAAAGGGAATCCGTGATAGAATATTAAAGTTTCAACCAAGTTACACCGAACAACGGACAGATAATTTTCAGCTCGTAGGCGCCGTAGCCATGACAGCCTAATGATTTTGTCCTGCTATGTATTTCGAGTTATTCTAATTATTCATTTCTTTAGAAATTCATTGTTTTCTCAATCAATGAACACCAAAATATTAGCATAGTGGGAAAAAATGGCCACGCTACTGATAATTTCAGAGCGATTGAAACAAATGGCACCTTTAATTAGAAGCAATACATATTTACAATTTAATGCAATAATTTTACCAATATTGTAATAAAAATGAATTTTTGAAAATAGCTATTAGCATAGAAATCTAAAACATTGTAAATTACAACTTTAGTGTCCCAACACTGCTGCCCACTTAAAATCTTGGTGGCTTAGTTTGAACATTATGTTCTCCCATCTTCCCTGGGTCAAAGTTTGAGTGGCACCCGGTTATTTTTGAAAACTTTGTGTTCTAAAAAATATTATTAATAATATTATATCATTGGTCGAGAAGCATGTTAAGCTTAAGCACAAAGAAGCTAGAAGTTGAATGAGACGTTGAAGTGTGCATTACGAAGCAGGAAGTTGAATTAGCCGCTCAACGCCAATAAGATGCTCACAAATATGTCACGTGCGACCAAGATTTAGATTGGCTGCGTGGGAAAATAAGTCTGCAAAAATTAAAAAACCCCGACTGAGATTAAAGCTCTCGCTTTAGCTGTGGTGTTTAGGTAGCTATAGATATCTCTTAAGTGAAATTAAAGTTCGATACTTAATGCTTCAAACCCTCGCCATATTAAATTGGACATTTGGAAGTGCATGTGAACAAAATGGGCTGAAAGACAGAAAAACCCAAACGAAATGTGCGTCAGCCTAAACACGCCCTGCCCTAAACGTTTAAACCGGTTAAAAAACAGAGAAAAGACAATAATATCTATGAACTTGAGATAACTGAGGTTGATCGCGAAAGACTTCATGCTTTCCCCATCGTCTCGTTTATTTTCATTTTCTAGAGTGTATATCACCAAGCTATAGTGCAAGAATATATGAAATAAAATTATTATAGGAATAAGTCCAAGCAAACTGATGGGCAATAAAACTTTGATTCATTATTCTGTTAGTGTAATTTTTATACTCATTTACTTGAGCTATATCGTATACAGGAAATTGACGGGACTGTAACAGATACACTTGATTCACAATCATCGCCGGCCGCTACCGCAGCACTGATCAAACATGCATGTAAACAGTACGAAAATATGAAGCATAATGCTTAAATTACAATATCTCGACCATATTAGTCCGAAGCGGGAATTCATCAATACTTACTAAGATTTTGATACCAAAATGAGAGCGGAAGCATAAACTTTCCAGAAGCTTGATATTTCCGCTCTTAACTGACTTCGGTTCAATTTTTTGGCTGATTTTGTAAACAAACATGAAATTTCAACCCCATAAGTCCGACTTCAAATTAAGGTAAATTTTGTTTAAATCCCTTGTAAAACATTACAAATATGATATATTTTCGAATTCCGCAGGTATCTCGGTCACAAGTTATTGGTACAAGTGTATGAAGCGAAAACTACAAAACTTCGATAAATTTTTATTGCGTCTCAGCCTGAAGCGAGAGCCCGTGCAATGCGATTGATCTTTTGTCCTGAGTGAGTTTGATATGATCTGTTTACATACAAACATAAATCCATCCATACAGTGAGAACTTTATTATAGTTATCCTGACGGCTGTACACAACTAATTTACAAGATATTTTTGAAAAATTAGATAAAATTTATATCGATCAAATACAAATGAGTGTATAATTATACATTCAAAGCTAGGCTAAAACAAGTCAATTTTCTTCAAAAAAATTCTGTAGTATAAAACATCCTTCAAACAACGTTTAAAAATCCTGGAGGCTGGAGGGCGGCTTAATTTTAGTTCATACGAGATAGAGTTCCATATAACTGATGCTCTATACACAAACTACTTTTGGCCCATGGCAGTTCTAAATTTTGGGACATGAATGTAATTTGACTGTCTAGTGATACGTCCACTTAGGAGTCCACTTCTGTTAAGTTTTCGCTCAATTAAGCTGGAGCAATTAAAAGCCATAAAAGCATCACGTAAGTAAGGTTCCTTCATGGCCAAGGCGCTAGACCAGGCATATAATATACACTGGTAAATTTTAACCAATTATATTGCCCAGTGTTTATCTTATTAAGATCGATTTACAAATACATAAATAGAAGGAAGCGCATTATACATAATAATACATACACCGCAGTTGAAACGCTTCGCATGAGCAACTAAAAATAAAATTCAATAATGGCAATATCGCGGGAAACGTAATTTGAGTGCTTTAGAATATGGTTTCTCCAAGCTAGCGCTTTGGTTCTAGAACTGTACAATCTACCATCTACAATCCTAACTTTACATTAAAAAGCAAATTTCATTGATTGAGTAATTTGAGTTCAATGATTAGCGCAGAGTCACGCCTGCTTGGCGGCCATATTGGCCTGCATTTCTGGCCATGACCACTGACTTGTCGTCTCAGGGTACCAAATTCAGACATTTTACGACACGAATAGCAAAATATCTCCCGCAAACTAGAAACATTTTATTTTTACGATTGACATGTGTGTGTGAGAAGTGCATCAGTGTGTATCAGGTTTTAGAAGGACCACTTGAATCGGAACTTTTGAATGCAAATGTGGAGCACAATTATTATTAGTGTTACGCCAGTTTTTGCATATTTCTGTATAAGAAATAAGCGCACTTCGCAACGCTGAGTGGCCCTTTTAGTCGCCGCTTTATCCTTAGCCGCGCAAATCAATTATAAATATCAACTCTTGAAAAAGGTTCGCCAAGCAAACATGTGTTTTGAAGAAAAATAAGTATTACAGTAATTTTGCGAGAAAAATTGAAATGAATTTTTTTGCATTAGATTACATGAAATCATGCACTCTTAGTGTTGTTAAAGTCTATGTACGTTTCATGTGTGTAATGTATCATGATTACGTGTTGAACAATATATTGACTTATAAAATTATTCATATAGTGTTTATTTATGGAGTTGTATGTTAGTAAACTGAACACTTGGTTAAATAATAAATAGATTTAATAAGAGGCTTCGCAAAAAAAAGAAAAGAAAATAAGAGGAAATTGGAAATATAGTTATCTGAGTATTATAGTTATGTTGTTCCTGTGCAGTGCAGTATGTGATAAAGTAAATGCGTCAGAGTGCGGTTTCCGAACCAGGACAATAAGTAATGGGCGAACTAGTTAGTATTGAGTATTGATTGTTGAGTATAGCGTTGTTAAGATCGTTGTAAAATATAAATTGAAAAACCAACGTGTTAGTTGTGAATCTGCGTGTGCAGACAAATTCGTTGAACGAATAAAGTGAATTCTGCGACACTTAGCGAGGGAATTATATGCTTTCATAGTATTTATATGTATATATAGTTCTTTTGAAATACGAAATATTTATATCTAGGCTGAATAAATTAAACGGGAAACTTGATTAAATGCCTTCATCTGGAGACATAGAGTCTAGTGGCAAATTAACTCATTTCACTGAATTTCAGATGTTGTGACAATCGAAACTGAAAGCAGGTCAATTTTGCGTCTATATTAATTAAGATATTTACTTTGCCAAAACAAAACTATACATAATTGATAAACAAGCAATTTAGTGAATTTAAACTGCGTGTCAAAACATATACCTCACTTTCAAGATGGCTGGCTTGATGAGCATTTGTGCGTTCATTTTAATCTCAAAAATACTCCTGCCAGGCGAATGTCAAATCATTCATCAGGCTGTTTTTCGAAAACATCAAAAAAAATATTTAGCGAATCATGTAATTGATACAAAACATGCAGATACCGAATCTGAGTGTTATACATATTGCGTTAGAGATGAATCGTGTGCTTCAGTCAATTTTAAAACCTCTGGACCCGGGAAAGGTCTTTGTGAGATCAACAGCAAGACACTTCGAGAGATATCTTACGCTGATGAAAGCATGTATAACCCAGAATTCAACCATTTACACAAAGTTGAAAAGGTAAGAAAACTATATTTGCTACTGCTATATAAGCATACTGTTGTAGTAGCTATATCCTACTCAAAGGCAATGCATGGATACGCCTATATGCATGATTTATCCGAGAAATTTATTGTTATACGAAGGACGTTGTTAGAAAAGCGGGTAATTTGTATATTAATGTACGAGCGATGCAATTGTATAAAATGTGACCTAATTTTTGACTTTATATCCGTAAAGTTTTGTTCTGATTAAAACTAGAAAAATAAAATATTTGTTTTATTTGCAAATTGATGAATATATATATTCGGCAGTTTCAGTTCTAATGACTGTGTTACTTCATATTTTCTTAAACTGTTGCAACACATAAATGTTATATATCAGTGGTAACATAACTAAAATGCATGTAATTGCACAGGTGTGCTGTGTCATCGTTACAGCAGGGTGAGGTTGTACTAATAATGTGTTAGGAACCCAGGCATCAAGAGATGATCATTTTCTTAATAAATTTCACGGCATTATTTTTTGATCAACATTATATTTTTAGAGCACTTTTTTCTCACCTGCACTAGACTTCAGTATGGATTAGCAATCTACATGCAGTCACTTCTCGCCTGTTTAAAATGATACAAGCCTGTTCTAAGCGTTTACTCGAGCTAAAGCAGCTGCTTTTAGCGGAGAATGTTTATAAATAAAAGCTGAAGATTGTCATGCACTGCAAAAACATCGCAGGTTAATTTAAAACGAGGGCTATCTTTAAGGGCGGAATTTTAGCAACATAATAATTATATCATTAAATTTTGAAATCTAATAACTAGCTCGAGTACAGAAAATATAGGCGCACTAATTTAGTTTTGATCGAGTTCATGGAATATGCGTACAAACGAGAACGCAGAATATGCGTGCTTTGTCATTTAGCATCATTCGAGTACACAGCATAGTTTATAACCTGCACCGTAGAACGAGAGCGAACGAGTAGCGTCGTTAACTGAACGAAAGTACGGTCACAATCCTTCATATATACTTTCTATTGGCTAAAACAAGTTTTATTATCATATTCGTTTGTATACTTTAAGCCATATTCAACATGCATATTTTGGTCATATTTTTATGCTGTTATATCGTGTATATTTATAAGTACTACCATGCATGTAAACAGGGTGACGATGATTGATGATTTGTAATGGTAGTTTCTGAACCTTTTGGAATAAGCCGAATAACTAAGTTGTATACACATGCAGGGAATTCAGACAGAGTGACTGCAAACTGCAGCAAATAATTGATTTGCCAGCTACTGCTGATTTACACTTCAACTCCTGTGGCTGTGGATCTTATTATGCTCCTGGGATTTAAAAATAACAACACGAAGTCTAGTTAAATTTAATGCTACTGATTAATTTCTGTAGAAAATTCCTTTCTATTATGTTCACGCACATTGCTCAAATCACAAAATAATGTGATGAAATTACAATACTTTTGGCGTTTGCAGTTATTCTGAAACACTCTGTTCTAAACTGTATGAAATGTACACACGTTTTAATTTTTGCCAAGGATTGAAGGCCAAGTAAACACAACGCCAACAAAAACATTGGTGCACACAAACAAATGTAGTAATTAGAACACACTGAGCGCTATCATGCTGGGTTCCAGGTTGTTGGAACAAGCTTGTCGCAAGATTTCGCACGGCTTTTGTTGTATCTTGTTGTCAAGTTGCTACAAATCTGCAGCAGACTTTCGTCAAGCTTGATGACTTCTAGAAGCCGTGTATAGTTCAGCCATGTTAGTTCTGTTGCAAGTTGTTCCAACAAATTTGCTACAACTTGACAAAACAACTGCATTGCTACAACTTGTTGACAAACTGACATCAAAACCTGTTGACAGGAAGTGAGATTTTTACGTGCATGTCTATTGCATGTTCCCATATACAGGATGAATAAAAAAAACCTGACACTTGAAATTCAAATTAGTCGTATAGCGGCTGTAATGTGACAGAAGTTGCGTAAAATATATCATGCATGGGTATGGGTATGCACGACTTGCACTTTAGACTAATTATTGATCGAAGAATTAGAAGGAAATAATTCATCACAGCTAGAAAGATCTTACCTAAAATAGTGCAAATGCAAAGTTTGGCTGTGAAATTTTCTAAAATACGGAAAATATAGCCACGCGAATTGGCAAATTTTGTATACTTTTGTATTACGTGCGGAAATGTGTAATTAATTTGGTTACACACTTCCGGCCGCAATACAAAGGTATACAAAATTCGACAACTTCGCTTGGCTCTATTTTCTGTAATTTACGACAATTCGCAGCCAAAATTGACAGTTTTACTTAAAATAAGAAGAGAAAATACCAACAGAGAGTTTTAGATGTTGAAATTGGCTCTTTTACCCCACTTCTTTTCGGAACCAATGGCGGAATGGGGTCTGAATGCCACAAGTTTCTTATACTCAGCTGGCGCAGAAATTGGCAGAAAGAGATCATGAACGTTATGCAGTTGTCATAGCTTGGTTGAGAACCAGAATCTCTTTCGAAATTCTAAGATCGGTATTTACATGTGAGTGTAAGGGGATCTAGATCACCTTTTTATAGAAAAGAACTTGAAGTAGTAGACGATTTTGGACTAAATGTTAAGATTGCTGAGGTTTTTTAAAGTTTTTTAGATTTTTACTTTACGTGTGAAGTACTCCTCTTCTATAAAAATTAGGAAGAACAACAATCATTATGACTTTCGAAAAGAGTTTAAACAGTCCATTTGAAAATGCATGGTGATTAGAATAGTTAATTTTGGTCAAGTTTTATTTAGAATTCTTTTAAATATGTATATAGTTAAAAAGTTTTACTAAATTCAGAAAATACCCTTTTTATCGCCGAGGTAAGAAGTTAGTCCAAAGCGCAAGTCGTCCATTGCTTACAGTTGATGACAATGCAGTGAACCTTTAGACACGGGAATAAGATCCGCCACCCAAGTTCAGTTTTTTAAATTTATCTCGCTTTGGTCAGGGTTACTCGCGTTTCCCCTTCACCTCTCATTCACCTGTATACCGATTTACTGGAGATTCACACTTGGCTTCCCTTCCCGTGTAGCGCGGAAAACCTTATATTCTACGACGGGATCCTCGTGTTCAGGGCCGGTGGGATACAAGTCGTGCTGTCGGAGTGGGTCTCTCCATGTGCATTCCTACCCAAAATATATCTATTTTATAGATCAGGAAGTATACTGCCAGATTTAATAGCTCTCTATCGCAGCATTTAATTTCCTTTGTATACGACTATAGACAACAGTGTAGAATTTCTATACTTCCTAGTTCCTACTTTGCCGCTTTTAAGTGAGGCTATATAGCCAACGTTTACAAAATTAATTATTCAAAGCAAATGGAAGCTTATGGTCCACGGGTTGACTCTACGCCCGGATTACAACATTTTAACGTCTTTGAAAAATTTGCAATGCCAATGAAGTTATGCATGACGCTTTCAAGTCATATATGCACCCTTTAGTGGCATCTGACGTTGATTTATTCTTTGTTGAAGCAATTGAAAGTTATTATTATTACGCTTTCATGAAAGCGGTGAAAGTTTTTACGCTTTTGTATATAGAAGCGGTGAAAGTTTATTATGCTTTTGTTGAAGCGATGAAAATTATTGCGCTTTTGTAGAAGATTTTCTAAAATAGATCCCAGCGGAACCCCAGAAACAATCCTTTTTGACGGATGACATTAGACAATACAGAATGTCAGACTTGTTCCCTTTTAGTTAACTAAGACTCAACCATCCGAACTCAGTGCCCGATATTCCAAATTGGTCTTCTAATTTATGAAGCAAAATATTATGATCAAGTGAGTCGAAGGCTTTACGAATATCCGAAAAACAACCCCGCAAATAGACCATTGGCCATACTTTCATAAAGAGTATCGCTCATCTGAGTCAGGGTGGTAAGAGTTGAGTGTTTGGGCCGAAAACCATGTTGATGTTTTGAGAAAAGTGAATTTGCAAATTTGATTAAAGACGCTTCTCTCGAGTATTTTACTGGCGATAGGTAGCATTGATATACGGCGATAGTTTTCGCATTTTAACCTATCATCAGACTTGTAAATGGGTGTAACCAGGTTTTTTTTCATTCATCGACATATTAGCCTTTTTTATCGACATATTAGCCTTTTTTATCAAGGTTAATGACGAGCCAACAATGGTCGTATGAACAGACCTTAAGTAGAGCGACTCTTGTCGTTCAGTACAGAAGAGCGACTTTTGTCGTTCATTCGTTCGTCGCCTTCGTCGTTTCGTATACATGTTTAGAATAATATGCAAACCAATCAGCTTTTCAAAATTTCAAGAACAACATTAGCACACTTGCATATATTCGTCCGTTCTCGTTCTACGGTGAAGATTGACTAATATGCGCACATTCGTATAGTTTTGGTTAACAAGACTATCCCAAGCACCCCCGCGCGCTCGCTTTTTTTCAGCTGACCTCTAAAGAAATAACTGATTTGAACGTTACATATTTTACTATTAAAACGCCTGGGTTATGAGGCTGTCCAAATGATATTTTGCAACTAACCTATATTTTCATTGAAGATTGCCACAACAAAAAAAGTTTTTAATTAGGAAGCACCCTTAACCCTTCGTTAGGTTCATATTTTCCCCTTTTTTAGAAGCCAGCAGATCGCGTTGAAACCAGCCCAAAGCCCCAGGTGACTCGGCGCCAAGCAACAGGTACGACATGTATACCAGCTGTAACTTTGGGTCAACGCAATATGAAAAATTGTGATAATGACACGGCTACAGAACATTTAGAACATAGTATAGATGGTTTATTGTTAATGATGTCATGATGGTAAACATAGTTAAACAATCAGGCTTGAATTTGAAAAAGGTTTCTTCCTAAAACTGTACGGCATGAATAACGAAGAAATATGGGAGTCATATGTTGTGCAATTAAAAGTTATACATGTCATACATGCAGATGAATATCTTCTCTACAGAACCATCAACACCAAAAGCGACAATAAAAATGGTCTCGTCCACATCACGTAAGTTTAAAATGATGACCAAAGTATGAATTAAACCATTGGGCCTGTGTATCAAGCCCGTTTAGCTTAAGGCCGTTTTCCACTTCAACCGTATCGTAGCAAAACGTAGCGTATCTCATTGTTTTAAAGTCATTAGTTCTGGTCGAATACTTCGGAAACAAAGAATTAGCTACTCTACGTTACGTTACGATACGGTTGAAGTGGAAAACAGGCCCTAAACGGTGGGTAAATAGTCAAGGTGAGATAACAGTTTTACATCTCTTTTGAACGAGTCAACTTGAATAACATGCACTGAATATTTAGCTGTAAACATTATCTTTGTATGAAGGTCACAGTTTTATAGTTATCCCCGAGCCGGTGCGATGCACCGGGCGAGGGTACTAATTCCGCCCGGAGATTTTAATTACGCCCGGGAATGCAAATGCGAAATAAAATTTCCCCGGAGGGTACTTACCTGAAGGGGAGATGTAGTTCTCCGAGGACCTTCGAAGACTGATAGGAGCAATACTGGTGCAGATCCGCGGCCGGCAGCGGTCTGGAACCCACAAATTTTTTGACATGCGTACTAACCATCCTCTTATTGAGTTGACTGCTGAGGTTTGTTTATGATTCACGTAGCTGGGAGGGGTGGACTAGACAAAGCCACCATGGTAGGGGTACCAGTATTGCTCCTATCAGTCTTCGAAGGTCCTCGGAGAACTACATCTCCCCTTCAGGTAAGTACCCTCCGGGGAAATTTTATTTCTCCTTCGTACCTTCTCCGACTGATACTCGCAATACTGATGCAGATATACAAAGATAGCTATGTGAATCATGTCATCACTATTAAGCACTTCATCAAGAACAAAATACTTTTCATAACTAAAACAATGTGAATTACAGGTACAGTGCATATAACCTATGCTACCAATGTCGACAGTTTCAATATATCTTAACTAAATTGTAAGATTTTAATTAATTAAACATAGTATCTTAATCGTTAATAGCATCAAGTACCTTGTGAGCAAATGTAGATTTATCTACTCGTTTGTGATAATGTTTCTCAAAAGTTTGTGCTGAGGACCAGTGAGTCCGCAGCCTCCAAGACGACTTCTACGGGCACTCCACTGTCGACAGCTTCCGAAGTTGATGCTGCTCTGGTCGAATGTCCTGTAAAGCACACATCCACTCCTGCTAATCGAATTAGGGTGCATATCCATCTTGAAATGGTCTGGCTTCCCACTGGTTTGTATGGACTGACATATAAAAGTAGGAGTTCCTTATGCTTTCTATGGTTACTGGTACGTTGAAGATAATGTTCCAAACACTTCACAACACAAATGGTGCAATCCTGTTGGTAACGTCCCAGGAATATCTTCCTAGAGGGATGATAGGGCCTTGAATTCTTCACGTGGGGGGGAATAATGAACTCATAGCTGCTAGCTTTCTTTGAAAGATAATCACAGTGAAGGGCTGCAATTTCATGAGCCCTTGCGGCTGAAGTCAAGGCTAGTAGAGTGGTTAGCTTCAACGTCAAAAGTTTCTGAGAAAGTCCTTCCAATGGTTCTAAGGATGAAAAATATTGCAGCACTGGACCGACTTTCCAAGTCGTGCAAACTCGAGGGGTTGCTGGTCGAAGTTGGAAGATTCCTTTCATAAAGCGGGATACCAGGGGTAAGCTGCCAAGCTGCAAGCAATCAACTGGGTCATGCATCTGTGAGATACAAGCTTTGTACACACCTACTGTTCTGTAAGCGAGATTACGTTCACTAAATTGAGTGGATAGAAATTCCAAGACATCAGTTACAGGGGCTGAAAAGGGACATTTATTCCTCTGCATACACCAGCTAGCCCATAGCTTCCAGGGTCCTTCATATCGCTTCTGAGTGCTTGTCCTCCAGGAAGCCAACAGAATTTTGCACACCTCTGGTGAAAGGCCTGTTGTTTGCAGATATGAAACGGCCATACAGCTAGTCGAAGAGTTTTCCACATTGGATGGATTGCTTGCTGCTCGAACGGTAAGAAAATCGTTCCTTCTGCTATCGGTAATTGCGCTGGAAAATCTACCAGCAACTCCAGGAGAGTCGGAAACCAGGGCTGCCCTGGCCATGTTGGGGCTATCATCAATCCTGTTGCATGATCCTGGCGCAGTTTCTGAAGGATCCGTGGCAGGAGCACTATCGGAGCATGTATGAACACAGTCCACTGCCCCCAGTATTGAATAAAAGCATCCGTTGCCATTGACCCTGGGTCGGGGTATCTTGCCACATAGCGAGGAAGCTGGTGGTTGATGCGAGATGCAAATAGATCCACCTGTGGTGTGTAGAACCTTTTGGTGATCATCTGGAACACTCTCTTCTCCAAAGTCCATTCTGTTCGGTTGTTGAAATTCCTCGACGCAAAGTCTGCTTCGTCGTTGGTCACTCCTGGAACATGTCTCGCTGTAATCCATATCTGCTGGGAAATGCAGAAGTTCCATATCTCTAATGCCAGAGATGCCAAGGTTGGTGAATGTGTCCCTCCTCGCTTGTTCATGTACGAAACTGCAGTGGAGTTGTCCATAAGCACTTGAATGTGGCGTGGACGCGTGCTGTCTTTCACAAACGCTTGAATGGCTAGGTAAGCTGCCTTCAGCTCCAACAAGTTGATGTGTGCTCTGGCTTCGTCCTTCTGCCACTGACCACCCGTCCTTTGGCCCAGAGAACTGGCTCCCCAGCCTTTCTTGGATGCGTCGGTCGATATTATCATATCGATTGCTGGGGGGTTCAAAGCCATCCCGTTGATTTGATGCAGCTTCTCTGAAGACCACCATTTGAGTTCGTAGGATGCTTCCGTTGTCAGGGGAATGAAGTACGTCTTCGACCTTGTGAAGTGGCCTCTCTTGTGTAGAGCTGCAATGAACATCCTTTGAAGGGCTCGATAGTGCAATGGTGCTTCCCAGAGCCCAATTCGGGCTGTCTGATTCATCCGACCCAATAAGGCCGACAGCTCCAGCATGGAGCACCCCTGCCTGGTCTGGATCTCTTTGCACTCTGATTGTATGTGACAAAGTTTCTCCAGAGGAACTGCTATGGTCAGGTTGGTTGAATCCAGTTGTGCACCCAGAAAGATGATTACTTGTGTGGGTGAGGGTGAGCATTTCTCGAGTTTTATGATAAACCCAAGGTTGGTGAGAAGGTTGGTAACAATCTTGAAAATTGTTTGTAGCTCTTTTCGATCCTGGTGAAGGATCAGTAGGTCGTCCAAATAAATCACTACTCGTATACCAGATCTTCTCAGGAGGGCAATGACTGGCTTGACAAGTTTGGTGAATGCTCGTGGTGCTGATGAGAGACCGAAGGGCAGACACTGGTATTCGTATGTTATACCTTGGAATTGAAACCGAAGGTACTTCTTGTGTTCTTCTGTCATTGGGACAGAGTAATATGCGTCCTTCAGGTCCAGTTTCATGAGATAGTCGTTTGGTTGCAATATTGTTTTTACTAGGTCCAAACTTTCTAGTTTGAACTTTTCTGTGTGGACATAATTGTTTAGTGTCTTCAGGTTGAAAACTGGGCGATTCTTGTTCGCCTGCTGTATTATGAATAGTGTAGACAGAAACTGTTCCTCCTGTTCTACAACTTGATGCACTGCTCCTTTTGAAACAAGTTCCTCTATGGCTTGTGATAGCAATGCTTGTTGTTCCAAGGATCTGGCCTTGGTTACTCGTTTGCGCCATTGATAAGGTTTCGATGTCAGGGGAATTCGATATCCCTTCACTGTCTCTAGGACCGACTGGTCTGAAGTTATCATTTTCCAGTTTTTCATAAAATGTTTTATTCGACCCGCTGTCTGGTTCTCTTGCAAGGTAATTTTGTTGAGTTGAGGGATCATATAGTCAGCTGTTGTTTTGGGTGTTGGGCTCCTTGGAATTTCTTGGTCGCTTATTGAAGGAGGGTCTGTTTGATGATGAGCGACTAAAATCTGGTTTTGGGTGACCCGAGGATTTGTAGGACCATTTACGTTTCCCCCAAGGACGTGAACCGCTGGTACTGGGGGTTGAGGTGGCACGAAAGGGCTGCCTGGGTCGGTCCTTCTGGTATTGTGGCTTGGAGGGAGCTGCAATAACTTTGGAATTTGTCTTCGAATGGTCATGCTCACTTTGGACTACTTGATGAAATTTATCAGGGAAGAGATGTTTATCCGTTGGGATATCATCTTTTAGAATTCGCTTACCAACATCAGTAAGAAATTCTCCAAAACGCTTTTGGCGCCATGCATCTAATCGAAAGTTTGCATTACCCAGTAAGACCAGGGCATCTTCGAGGTATGCTTTTATTTCATCCGGGTCAGGACCAATGCCCTCGTCACTCTCATCAAGATTTGGAGGCTCTTCCAGGCAATCTAATGCTGCTGCAATAGGTCGTGCAACAGCCAGGAAGGGGGCTTGCTTCTCTACGAGGCCATCATCTGATGTGAAAACCTCCTTGGTTTTGTGGTAACCAAACTTTTGTTTGATATATTCTCTAGTGCCTGTTTCCATTGTAGGGGCAACAAGCACTTGATCCATCCCTTTTATTGGGGGATACTTTTGCATAAGATCGGACCAAACTTCTTTAGAAAGACGCTTGGTGAAAGCTGTGGTCAAGAAGGTTGTAACTTCTTCAGACAACTCGGTTTCCTTAGCCTCATTATAATATTTGGCAAGACGACTGTTGAGCTGTGGGGTATCGTTTACACTTTCCTTGGGTAACTCTTCTATCGAATTTGTAGACTGAGGTTGGGCAACAGCTGTCAATGCTTCTTTCAAAAGCATTGGTAAAGTGCTTTGAATTGTGCTAGTAACTTGATCAGCGACCAGTGTGCGAATTTCATCAGTAAGTGATGATGAGTTGTTACTCTGAACAGTTTCAATCTCCATCTCCTGCAAGGCTGGTACCTGCAGGGTGGAAACAGTCCATTAGACTGTTTATTATAGTACAGTAGCATAAATTTCAAGGGGGTACTTTTGAAACTGATCTGAAACCCAATGGTTTGATCTGAAACCCAATGGTTTGTTCGAGTTGGCACTCTGAACAGAACCTTATTTGTTTATTTATTTTGGCATTAAGACTGTTTAAGCAGGTACAGTCTTTTATCCGTAATATATAAGGTAGTTAAACTATAATAACATACACGTGCAATTACAGAATAACTAGTTGGAATCCTCATTAAAACCAGTCGATATACTAAATCTCGACTTGTCAACAACAAAATGTTAAGTTTTCAAAGTCTAAGTGACTTAATTCTCGCAGTACAACAAGAGAAATTGTTCACTCACCTGGTTAGTAGCCATCTTTCATGAAAATACTGATGGATGTTTAATATTTATGAGGGATTATGCGATTTTTTTCGCTTGTTTGTAAAATGAGTTCAAACCGAAGCTTGCCCACGAAATAAGAGGATGGTTAGTACGCATGTCAAAAAATTTGTGGGTTCCAGACCGCTGCCGGCCGCGGATCTGCACCAGTATTGCGAGTATCAGTCGGAGAAGGTACGAAGGAGAAATGAAAGTTGTCCGCCATTATGTCATGGACGTTGGGCGTTTTTGTAAGTTATGCACATGCGTGAGTTTAAAAAGAGTTAAAACTGGTAACCATCAAACGTTTGCAAGCGTGCGATTGGCTAAATTAAAATTTTGGTTCGCATCAGCATAACTGATATTTTGAATTATAAAACTTTTTTAAAAATATTTTTCATTTGGATGGTTTTGAAAACATACGGAAAAATTCATTCGGAAAATTGATTAAAATGTAAAGTAAATGATGCTTTCGGATAGAAAAACTTTGATTCAAATACATGGTGAAAAATCTACGAGTGTTTTTGAACAGGTAAATAGGTAGATTTTGTATTTTAGAGCATGCAAGTATTTCGTAAGTTTAACTTGTAGATTTATCAACAAACGTTGTAGTATTTAAAACTATTCGTAGCACAATTAATGAATTACGATTATAGTTGAATGTGATAGCTCGAGAGTCGACTATTTGTACTTGATATAGGATTTTACTTATACGACTTCGATCATTCAGCAGAAACGAGTATTATAGAATTTCACTAATGGAAATATAGGTTTATTACTTCAGGCGAGGCGATTTTGCATGCATGTATTTCTAGTATTAGCGAATGAAATAATTTTTTTGAAGCGACAACAGACAAGGATACGACAACAAGTAAGATGAAATTGAACAGAAAAACATTCAGTTGGCCATGTGTCGATGAAAGTGCAGATTTCAGATAATCCACCAGCAGGTGCTCGTGCGAGGGTACTTAGCTTCACTCGGAGATTTGGAATTAAAACCGCGGATATTTTGATGGGACAATGCTAAACCCAAAGTGTTGGAAACCTTATATAAACAATCATTTTATTTCAAATCAATCGATGAGCACAATCATTGAAGTTAAAGAGTTCACGGCAACCAGGTTTTACTAAAATAATGAAAGTAATCACCACACAAAGATTATGAAGGCACTATGGACCGGAGTGTCGAAACGTTGGGTCGTGAAAGTTAATCTTTGTGTGGCGAATAGTAGCCGAATACTTTCATTACTTTACTTAAACCAGAGTAGCGATAATTACGATGGAGCAAAATCATATCCATAATTACAACTGATAATTACAATCTTTTTAAACAATTTAAATTTTATAGCACCATCTACATCAAGAGTGGCAACATCAAGTAAGATGAAAATAAACAAAAAATATTAACTAGTGTCCATTAAAGTGTAAGCCTTAGAAAATATGTACGTAAAGTAATACCTACCTATTTACATATGAATGAAATATGATCTTTTTATATAGCAGCATCTACATCAAGAGTGGCAACATCAAGTAAGACGAAAATAAACAAAAAAATATGAACTAGTGTTGATTAAAGTATAAACTTCAGAAAATATGTGCTGAGAGTAATACTTTCATATTTACATGATGTATGAAATATGATCATTTTATAGCAATATCTACATCAAGAATGACAACAAATGATGTTTCTACTAAAACCAGTAAGAAGAATATATGCTATTAGACAAAGTCGAGTAATAAAGATGTATCTTTTTAACATTTTATTAACTCTCGGCAACCGAAATATGATTTTTTATAGTACCACATTCAACACCGAGAGATACAACAAGAAATCATTCAACTGCATCCAGTAAGAATAAAGAATACAAACGCATTGACCACGTGCAGTGATGATCGATGAAAGTGTATCTTCCTAATGATATACTGAAGTTATTATTTTTATACTAGTTGAATAACGTGAATGAAATATCTTCTTTTATAGCATGCGCACGGCCTACCCCGGGCGGAACAAGAATGGTTTCATCGACATCAGGTAGGTTTAGAAGTAATATATCAACTACGAAAGCGATTGTTTCTTTGAGATAACGAAACACGAGAAAACAATAGCGCGAGTGTTTTTGTTAAATGTTTACGAGTGTTTGGATATCCCGGTGAGGAACAAGCTAGAGTTGTTCATAGTTGCTTTCTCAAATGAATCTTGACAAATAACTTTCGTAAGCTGTTTTCAAGAGACGACAGAGAGTGATTATGATTGAAGGGATACGGCAATAAAAATTATCTTTGTCTCTTTTAAAAGAACGTCATGATTATTTACAATATTCGTTTACAGACTTTTGTTAACTTTATTGTCAACCCTGACCTCACGTAATTAGATCTCATTATAAAACAAAATGGCGGATATACCTCAATAGACGATGTTTTCGATCACCATGCAATACCTTGCGAAGTAAGGAAGATAAACAAATTTTAGAAAAAGTTTTCTTGTCGACAAAACAGAAATATTTTATTGCCATATCCTTCTAACACCGAGCAAATGCCTGCGTACACGCGAGCCATTCAATCATGCACTGAGAAAGACTCTGCTAAGCGTTTACTAGAGCTAAAGGAGTGTTTTGCTCGTGCTCTTAGCCGGAGAAAACTTATAAATATAAAAACAAAAGATCGGTAGGCACTGCTAAAACAGCGCAGGTCAGCTTAATACGACGGGAAATGAATATCACATCCCCATTTTAACAACGTGATAAGATTATATTATAATATAACATTTATAGAAAACACCCTGGTGATTGTAAATTACGCCCTAAAAGTTCGAAATTTGCTAATAATAAATAAATAATCATGGAATGACGAGTACAATTAGGGATTAATAGTACGAGTAGTGTTTGAATATTTTGCCGAAATTGGACTAGCGGGCAAGGCTAGAACAAACATGATGATTTTTCAAACACAAAAAATAGTTAACAATTCATAAAGATTTATTCGAGAAAAAAAAAAGAAAAAACTATAGTTACTGACCAGTGACTACCATTTCTGAATGCAGGAAAACCACCTCGAAATTTATACTAAAGTCATATAATTTATGTGAATGAAATATCTTCTTTATAGCTCAGCCTACACTGACCGGGACAAGAATAGTCTCATCGACAGGTATGTTTTGAAGTAATATATCACTATAGAAAGCGAGTGTTTCACCGGGTGTTTTTGCTAATTGTTTTCCAGTGTTTCGATTTCCCGATAAAACACAGTTTGAAATAAGAAACAGTTAAATTATTCGTGAATTGGTAATGAATTTGAGAATGAGCACTATATATAGGCTCAGTATAGTGACAATGAAAGTATAACTCTCACATCACATACTGAATTAGTAATATTTTTAAAGTTTTTTGCGATGAGGTAGAGATTTTTTCAGCGCCACCTACACTGAAAATTACGACAAAAAAGGATTTGAAGACATAAATAAGAGCGCAGTTCTCAAATAAGATAACATTTTCATAACACAAACATCGACGAACTTCGTAAAATTATAAGATCATCTTAAATCTTTCTTTTTTTTACATCCTTAATTTTTTTTTTAGCATATGCATGCAAAGATTTTTTATATTAGACGTCGACCACTTTATTTCTTGTTCTCACAGCAAAAGTGTTTAAAATTTTGTTTCATTTTTGGCTGTTCGTTAACGCAAGGATTGCATAAGGGGGGGGGGGAGGGGGGCACAATAATGCAGTAGAGTTATAGTGCAATTTACAAAATCCAGAACGAATGTACCCAATTATTGATGAGGTGATTCTGTTAGATTTTATGTTGCACTTACCTTGCTTTTTTGCATTTCCTACAACAAGGTTCCTGCAACACCAGTGAGGCTCCACTTGGGGTAGAGGATGGAAGGATAAAGAAGTATCAGATGATATCATCAACTGAACAAACTGGATTTTCTGCATCAAAAGGAAGACTAAACGGCGCAGACTCTTGGCGTCCCGCAAGTAATGATCAGAACCAATGGCTCCAAGTCGATCTTGGCAAAAAGGAACTTGTTACAGCGATTGCCACTCAAGGTTTTGGTAATAGTTGGGTGAAGACTTATTCGATCTCTTACGGTGTGGATAAAGAAAACCTCACTTCATACAAAATTAATGCAACTCAGAAGGTGAGCAGCAAAAGAGATAATAATCCAATTATTAAATTATTCTTGTGCAAGCAGTTAGAGCCAATGGCAGGTTTTTCTTGCGAAAGGAACCTGACACACAATCCTTCTCCCTCAAGTTCCCTCTAAATTAATTTCGTATTACTGACTCTAGGGCTGTGATGAGACTACTTTTTGGTCTAGGATTGAAAATTCATTTAAATCACCCCACCCCCCCGAATGTGTCTTACTAATTTTAGTGCGCTCTGTTTATCTGTGGTGATATATATTTATTTTTTTCTTAAATCAAAAGTAGTCTATAGTGCAAAAGTTGAATTTTATCAATCTATTATTATTTATAAAGGTATTCGCTGGAAATTATGACAAAAGTTCTGTCGTGACAAATCTCTTATATCCAGCAATAAATGCGCGTTATATTCGCATACACCCAGTGTCTTGGTTTAGTCACATATCCTTGAGAATCGAAGTTATTGGTTGCTACACAGGTAAATAATACTTAATATTGAGCATATCTAACTTGTTTCTAGTCCCTCGTTTACCTTCAACATGCACATCCTAAATTAACTTCAACAAAGCGTTGGATTGTGGAAGAGTCGGGTGGCGTTAATTATTATCTTTCATGATAATATCCAGTTGATCTGAGCATAAAAATCAACCAATCAAAAACCAAATCCTCGACAAAACTGAATTATCATTTATTTCATTTCATATGACGTCAGCACTGGAAATTGTTAAGTAACTCTATTATTTCTACAGGGAAACACATTTGTTTTCCACTTTACTGTAAATTAGAATTTAAATTTTTCTTCCTTTATACATGTACTATTTGTTGGAAGATTGGGGGGAAATTACTTTAGGATTCTCTTAGATGTACGTATCTTACTTTTTTGGGCTACTTACAACAAGGTTTTTGCAACATCAGTGAGGTTCCACTTGGAATAGAGGATGGAAGAATAAAGAATTTTCAGATGTCATCATCAACTGATAAAAATGGATTTTCTCCATCAAAAGGAAGATTAAACGGTGCAGACTCTTGGCGTCCCACAAATAATGATCAGAATCAATGGCTCCAAGTCAATCTTGGCAAAAAGGAGTTTGTTACAGCGATTGCTACTCAAGGTTCTGGTAATGCTTCTTGGGTGGAGACTTATTCCTTGTCTTACGGTGTGCATAAAGAAAACCTCACTTCATACAAAATTAATGCAACTCAGAAGGTGAGCAACCATAGAGATAATAATCCCATTATTATAATAATATCGTACAAACAGTCAGAGCCAATGACTGCCTCAGGCCTTTAACAAAAGGAAACTGATACACAATTGTTACGCAATGTCCCTCAAAATTGCTTTCGAATCCAAATAAAAATGAAAACTCAAATAAATCACCACAGTCACAAAACGTGTTCTAAAAAAACTAAGTTGTTAAAAAAACAACGCACAGAATTGAGGTAATATGCTCGAAATATCACCAAATTTTTTTGTCTTTGATAAAAACTGTGTGTTTTCAAGAAGTTTATTTTCGGATATGTTATATTATATTTCGCGAAATTGTCGGCTGTGATATATTTCTTTATTTATGTCTGTGATGATTTTCCTAAATCAAAATTAGTTCATAATGTAAACGATCAATTTTATCAATCACTTATAATTTATAAAGGTATTCGCTGGAAATTATGACAAGAATTCTGTCGTGACAAATCTCTTATATCCAGCAATAAATGCGCGTTATATTCGCATACACCCAGTGTCTTGGTTTAATCAAATATCGTTGAGAATCGAAGTTATTGGTTGCTACACAGGTAAACTATACTTAACATTGAGCATGTGTGACTTGTTTCCAGTCCTTCGTTTACCTTTAACATGAATGTCCCAAAATAACATAGCGTTGGATTGTGGGTGAAGGGTCGGGTGGCCTGAATTATTACCATTTGAGATCATAATCATGTGGCTAGAATTTCAATGCATTAACACCGAGCAAATGCCTGCGTACAGTCGAGCATCAAGGCAATATATAACACTGGATATTGAGGATTTTTGGTTGGAACGGCCGGGGAGCAAAATGATGTAGTATTAAGTTATTAGCATTAAATTATTCTGCATTACAATTACGGCAGTGAACTTTGGTGTATTAGCGATACTTTTAACGATCCATTTAACGACATAACATTTGGAAAAAATATTCTTCTTGTAGCTCTGCTTTCACACATTGCATGATTTATCCTGATTCTATTTTTTTACTCACATCTGATCCCAGTTCCCTTTCTCCATTGTGGCATGAGTTAGTATGTAACATTAATTTGCTTGGCCTCTTCAAGTGACCAATGTACGCAATTATCTAAGTGAAGCTCTTAGATCTTACACGCTTACTTTTTTGCATTCCTTACAACAATCAAGGTTCTTGCAACACCAGTGAAGTTCCACTTGGAGTAGAGGATGGAAGAATAAAGAATTCTCAGGTGTCATCATCAACTGAAAAAAATGGATCTTCTACATCAAAAGGAAGATTAAATGGTGCAAACTCTTGGCGTCCCGCAAATAATGATCAGAACCAATGGCTCCAAGTCGATCTTGACAAAAAGGAACTTGTTACAGCGATTGCCACTCAAGGTTCTGGTGATGGTTGTTGGGTGAAAACTTATTCGATCTCTTACGGTGTGGATAAAGAAAACCTCACTTCATACAAAATTAATGCAACTCAGAAGGTGAGAAGCTAAAGAAATAATAATCATATTATTACATTGTAACAAAAAGTCAAGATTTTTCTCCGTGAGCTTTTCTTCACTCTCGCAACATTCCCGCGTGTTAGGGTCAAGCCATCCAAACACGTAAACCGTCAAGTAATTTTTTAATCCAGTACAGCTATTATTCAATCAGATTGCTGTCCACTTTTAACTATCTTTTAGCAGACAGTTTCCAGAGGGAAATAAATATTTTTTCTGATCATAAAATGTGATCCAGTCGCAGCCAATGTCCTGTTTTTTTGACCTAATTGTAACACTCACTGTGTTTCACCAATCTGATGAAATTTCCTGACATACAAAGGAAGGCCTTTTTTCTATACAGAGTCACTACCTGAAATTCAGGACATTAATTATCATAATGCCAGGATTTCGTAATTTAGGATTTTTATATTAATTTTAACAGATTCCCATTTCCCCAGTGCTGTCATTTCAACAAATAACCATTATATTGCAAGTATATAATCCCCGAGCCGGTGCGAAGCACCGGGCGGGGGTACTATTTCCACACAGAGATTTTAATTACGCCCGGGAATGCAAATGCGAAATGAAAGTTGTCCGCGATTATGTCATGGACGTTGGGCGTTTTTGTAAGTTATGCGCATGCGTGGGTATAAGACGAGTCAAAACTGGTAACAGCAAACGTTTACAAACGTGCGATTGGCTAAATTAAAATTTGGGTTCACGTCAGCATAACTCATACTTTGAATTATAAAACTTTTTTTAAATAATATTTTTCATTTTGATAGTCTTAAAAATATACGTAAAATTGATTAAAATATAAAGTAAAAGTTGCCTTTCGATAGAAAAATTTTCATTCAAAGGGATGGTAAAAAATCTACGATTTTGAAGCATTTTTAAAGTGTTTTTGAACAGGTAAATGGGTAGATTTTGTATTTTAAAGCATACAAGTGTTTTGTAAGTTTAACAGGTGGATTTATCAACAAATGTATGACACCTCTTTGAATTTATTCGTCAATTTCGTTGAAATGATTTTGATTTGGAAAGTATTTATTTTTAAAGGTGAATTTGTTTAAAAAGTAATTGAAATTTCTCTAAAAATTGTAGTATTTAAAGCCATTCGTAACACAATTATGATTATAGTCGAATTTGATAGCTCGAGAGTCGACTTTATAATTGTACCAAGATATAGGATTTTACTTTAGCAGAAACGAGTATTATAGAATTTCAGTGATGGAAATATAAGTTGATTGCTTCAGACGAGGGGACTTTGCATGCAATGTATTTCTAGTTTATAATGGTTGGTTGCTGAAATGACATTATTGGGGAACCTGTTAAAGGGAATATGAAAATATGAAAAAATTTTCATAAAGTAGTGAGTTTCTGCCCGTCTTAAATCGAACGATAGACGCTTTTAGCCAGGGGCGCCTGAGCCATGGGGCAGAGAGGGCGGCTTCCCCATTTGTTGTCTGTTTACTGAGGCATGTGGGGGCAACTGCGCTTTGCTTTTGCTACTGCTTTGAAATTTAAACCAATCCTTTAGAATTTAATATAAAGACACCCATGCAAGTAAAATAAAATTATGAAATAGTGAAAATACAGCGACCATTCTGTTTTTCCTTTCAGGTGTTCGATGGAAATACGGACGAAAATTCTGTTGTGACAAATGTCTTATCACCAGCTGTAACAGCTCATTATATCCGCATACACCCAAAGACATGGAACATTCACATTTCTTTGAGAGTGGAACTTTATGGTTGTCAAAGAGGTAGGATTAAAGCAGTGCAGGCAGAAGTTTGCTAACAGTAATTGTAAGTTTAAATATTTTCTTCTTAATTGCGTTTTTATAAAATACACTGAGAAGAAAGTGTCAAAATTTTCGACAAATATATAACAAGGTTTTCTGGACTAGCAGTAGACGTTCTTGAGACGAATATACAATACGAAGCTGAAGAGCGCATGCTAGTCTGCTATTGTGGGATATCTGCTGATGTACCTTGTTGATCTGATAATGCACCAATTGAATCCTGACCTGGACACGGTCAGGATCTCGCGCGAACTAACCGTCAACACTGTTACTTACATAATTTTTATAGGATCGCAAGCGAACAACAACCTCGTGACTGCCGTACCCGGGTGGGTGAGGGTCGTTATCGTTGCAAGACTATTGGGCACTTCTTGTCACGCAATTCAAATCTACAAACTGCTGCTTGCTGTAATCATAAGAGACTTATTAATTTAGCCGTATGCGCATCATCAATAGGGACAGCGTTTTCTTTTACATGATTAGTTGCTTTTTGGATAAAATCGGTTACAATTTTGAACGCGGTACAGAAGGTAAAAAAGTCTGTATATCAGGACCCCATGATATATGATAACATATTCTAAATAGGGAGGGCAATGGATTGCACTTGTTTGGCCCGTACTGGAAGGTATCTACGGGACTATGATTGTTTCCGCAAGAAATAGTAAGAAATATAAATGTTTAGTACTAAACTAAGCGGTTGTACAAAGCTCATTTGGCACAAACAGTGGTTATATTAGCTCATTAACAGTAGTTATTAATTTCTTTGAAGCTAGTCATGTATATCTAGCGCTTGTCTGATATATAACTAGTCTAATGAGGGTAAATCAATTATGATTTTTTTCACTTCACTCGATGCAGGTAAAGTGGCAAGAGCATTGCACCAGCATTGCAAAAGCGTAGGTTCGATTTCTGCCGGAGGACTTATAATTGACTCATTATTCCATCAACTAATCCTAGCTTGAATTTGAAGTGTGTGTAATTCCACTCAAAATTAAGACCCTTACCTCTAGAACTAGTCGTATGACTTTTATGTTGTATATTTAGGAGGTGAATAAGCATGTTATTAAATTTAAACTACTCTCTAGTGAAAGCAATTCCTTGCAAAACTGGTGAAAAGACACTTGGCGTGGAAGATAAGAATAAAGTTAAAGATTCGCAATTGACTTCTTCGAGTTATTGGAACACATTGACCTCAGCAGCGAGTGGACGATTGTACAACGTTGGAGAATGGGGAAAAAAATGGATAGCAGGGTGGATAGCAGGAGTAAACGATAGGAACCAGTGGATACAGGTTGATCTTGGCAAGAAGGAAGTTGTCTCCGGGATTGCCACTCAGGGAGGATATTATTATATTCAATATTATAATTTACAAAATTTTTTTCATTTTTGTTGGGTGAAGACCTATTCTGTGACGCATAGTTTGAATGGAACAACATTCGAATCTTACAAAGATAAGGTGAGAATTGCACTACATAGCGTACAGTTCGTAAAGTCTGGGGCCGGTTCATCTAGAGGTAACCTCGTACCCAGGGTCTTTTCTTCCCCCATAGTGAGCACAGATAATAGACCCTGGGTACGAGGTTGAGGTTTCTGGTGGCTCAATAAAGTTTATCGAAATTTTTCTTTTTACAAAACGTTATTTTAGCTTATTAAAAAACTTTCCCATGACAGAACTTTTTAAAAACTTTTTCATAGATAAAGTATCTATAGCGTAAACGTTATATGGGGGATCACCGAACGCGTTTGCGATATAAACACAAAGGAGATATTTTGAAACGTCTTTGTAGCCATGGTAACGGGTGACAGGCACAATTTCTGAATAGATTTCTGCTCTAGATATGTTTCCTGCAAAGTTTATTAACTTTTATCCCTATAGCCAAATATTTGGATGCTTGATATCCCAGTTTAAAATGTGCAATCTCGAGAAACAGTATCGAGTCACCTTAAGCGGTGGACATGCCACGGTTAAAAAATAGTGTCATGAATTCCCTCATACAAGTAAATCAATGATTTATTCTCGATAGTATCAGCTAACAATTAGTTATTGGTTCATAAAATTGGCTCATATCACCGGGACATATCACCGGGACATTTACCCGGGACATCGCTTTGGTAACGCGGGCAAATTTAAATATGGAGAAAATATTTACAAAACGTCTTGTAATGGTGGATCTTTTGCCTTTAGCTGCAGCTGTTCTTAATCTTCTGAACACTATTAGCAGCCAGTTAACACTCTTTTTGCTGCCAAAGCAAGCAAGCCTGGAGCGAGCGAGCAAGGCAGCACCCTTATTAATGATATCAATAAGGGAACTGAAATCTCGATTTTTACTTTTACCAAGATGCATTTGAGTTAGGCGTTTAAATCGACCGTGGGGGAGTCACAATTGATCAGTCACAATCGAAAAGAAAATCGAGCGAAAAATTTGTTTGATCGAAAAGTATCGCCTAGTGAAAAACCGGCTTAAGTTTAAAACGAAATTCCTCCTTGTTTTCACATACTGCACCGTTTATGTAAAAGTATATGTCTGTTGTTTCTTTGTCACTGAATGTACAATACTATCATAGGAAGCCTGCATGGTGAACGGTTCCGTCATATACTAAATGGTTGTATTTTTTTCTAAACGAATTTCGGTAGGTTTTTATGATTTTCAAGAAAATACATCAGTATTTAATTTTCAACTTTGTCTAGATATTTGATGGGAATAGTGACTGGAATACCATTGTGAAGAATGTTCTGTCTCCACCAATCACTGCTCGTTATATTCGTATACATCCAGAGTCTTGGGATACCTACTTGTGTATGGGAATTGAGCTTTATGGTTGTTTCTGAGGTATGTACTAACCTTATATACTTCATATGAATATAAGTTTATTTTAAAATCCTGTGATTAAATCTGAGTGAAGAAACGAAGCCAAGGTTACATGCCAGAGAATATATTTGACCGCGTGGAACTGCGATATTCACAAACAAAATATCTTCACCATTGCATGGCATTTATTGCGTTTTTTACCACTAATGCATGATCGCCTCTGTAACGTCACATCCTACCGTTTGTTTACCATTTATTTTGACGATTTGAATGTGTATTCTCAGACATAAGATATATGCCACCCGATTTGTTGTCTTTATTGACCCTGCAGCGCTACAACGACCTAAGGTTAACACCAAGTTGGTGTCTTGTTTCTGTTTAAAATTATGTAATTTACGCCTTATGTACGGGATATGCCAACTGTGGGACGCCGGACCACAGGAACAGCGAAGGTCAAGCGCTTTCAGAGACAAGCGAGGACGCCCGGCGACCCTTTGCTGCAATAGAGCGTCATACTTTTACCATTTCATCCCATAATCAAATATGAAGTAATGTTAAAATGGTACTGTAGCCATGATCATATCATTAAAAACAAGTCCCTTGTGGATCTGTAAATCGTGTGTACCTACCAATACGATCAGGCTTCCTCCGCGTGTAATTGCTGTGGTAAAAAGACTCTGTTCTTTTCTAAAATTCTGCCCCTGCAGCCCCAGACTTTCTCAGGTGCCAAAACTCGCAACTGTTGACAGTTGGTAAACGTAAATACATTCAATGCTTCAGTTCATTTGGCTTTCAGTAAACTTGCAAAATCTTATAATACATTTTCTCATAGTAATAGAAACAGAATATCGAAGTTAAAGTGCATTCGTTATATTTTATTGCAGCCCTGCACCTGGTGAATCTTACGAAGCAGTTGAATAATTATATAATTAGTAGATGATCAGTGAATGACCAGTTTGTGAATTTTATAAGAGATAAGAATAAGTTAGTCATTAGCAATGTAGTGACATCAAATACAATAACTATAAATTACAGTCAGATATACGAACATGCGTATATAGAAGTAGTGTAGTATGGTTGTATCTGCATTATCACTTAATAGTCAACATGCACTGGTAATAAATTATAATTAAATCAACAATTATACGAAAAAATGGTTGTATGTGCATTTAAAGCTGAAAATATAGCTGGGAAAAAGACAAATTGAGTACCTTGTGCAGTAATGACGTAGTTAATAAATTTAATATGATAAAGAAAACAATCCCATGTTTTATGTCTGTCTTTCAAAGACGATGTTTCAAAGTTCAGTATACACGAATGAGCATCCGCCATTTTGAGAATTGTTGATTGCACAAGTCATTTACATGTCTGGCCGAGCAGAGGTCTGGGACCAAGTTACACAAAACAAGCTAAAAAATACCCTGATTTGAATAGAAAAGGTGGCAAAACCTACAAAATTAGTTAAAACATGTAGAGAATATTGTGTTTTAGTCATAAAATGTGATAGAAAAAAACAAAGCAAGATAATTTAAAATACATATTCTTGCAACTGATTTTGCTTGATCCGATACAATATCACGGTATCTTAGCTTATGTATAAATATGTACAAGCGTTAATTTTCTATAATAAGGTATTTCTGTGTTGCTGTGTTTCGTGCCTTATCTAGAAATCGTCTTCTCCATCTTCGTCTATATCAAAGTTATTGTCCATCTCATCGGCAACAACCATGTTATCGCACTCCAGGGAACACATATCGATGCATTTTAGTCCAGCTTTCAAGCAACAACAGGAAGCAATGGTACATGATTTCTTGCAAACACAAACTAGCATTTCAAGAACTCCTTCTGGTGCTGGTTTAGAACTTAGCCATTTGATGTTGATACTGCCATCATCAGTAACCTCCCATCCTTGACCATTTGGCTCTTCGCCAAATCCCTGCTTGATAATTTGCTCGACGTATGTGAAGCTCTAGAGATGAACGACAAGAGGGTAGCAATTCTGGTTCCACGCTCCCACCTTTGGCACAGTGTAGCTGATACCTAAGTAGATTCACACTTGAACTGGTTTTCTTGCCATAGAGATCACAAACAAATTCCTCAAGTACATCAAGTAGACCATCATCAACTATCCAAGAATCGCCAAGAGCAATGAATTCATTTACATATCTGAAACTACCTTTTAGCAACTTAAAAGCTTTAGTTTTACCTTTGCCAGCAAACGAAGACACAGAATCACAACCCACATGATATAAATGACAATTGTATAAGTTCAAAGCTAAATAATAATGGCCTATATGTGAAATAAGTATACCTGTAAAAGCATGCAACCCAATGAGAGATTTCAAGAAGCTATTTTCAGTGATTTCAGGATCAGACTCTAGATCTTTCAACAGCTTCTCTCTTATGAGGTGAAGTTGGACTATTCTCGTCTTTTGGCCTTTACCCATTTTCATATATCCAATTCTGTTGAGATAGGTACTGTGTGCTAAAAGAAGAACCAACACATCTGTGTCATCGGCATGAACAATAAATGGACATTGGCAATGTACTGCATGGAGAATAATACGCGTATTGGCTTCTTCGTGACTACACCTAAGTTCTGGAACCATCTCTAAAATCGATGAGGTCAGCTTCTAACATTCTTCCTCTTGGGTAACATAAACACTCGTTCTCCAAGCTTTCCCCTGCATTCAGGTCTCTTCCAAAAGGTCACAAGAAACTTCACAATTTCAACTTTGTTACAGGAGAGAGTCAAGAAGTTCCTCCATGACTTTATGGGAAATCCAGGCTGCAGATTCTTATATCTTTTTGATAAATGAAAAATATGTTAATAGCCAGATATATACAGTATATTTTGGCAGAATATATAAACTCTCTTGTGTATGATTTTGTGTTATACCTTGTTCCCTTTGTTAACTCCTGAGATCGCCTTGACCGTTCAGTAATCTTAATTGAAACATATTTGTAGACATCAAATACGACGTCTATTCGTTGTTCAGAGGAATTGAGTATTGCGTCAAGGGTTCGCTCTGCAAGGATTCCAAATGTAGCACAGCCAGGAGGCTTAAACTTTTGAAGGAGAGCTATCCCATCAAAAATACAGTACTGCTCAGAAATAACCTAATCAAAAACGCGTTCCGGACGCGTTCGAGGACGCGTTCCGAACGCGTTCCAGAACGCGTTCCAAACGCGTTCCAGAAGGCGTTTCAATCGCGTTCCAGAACGCGTTCCGAACGCGTCCTCGAACGCGTCTGGGACGCGTTCCAGTACGCATTCGATACGCATGTGTGCGTGTTTTACTAATTTAGTCCAGACCGCGTTTTACTAATTTAGTCTAGTCCGTGTTTTACTAATTTAGTCCAGTCCGCGTTTTACTAATTTAGTCCAGTCCATGTTTTACTAATTTAGTCCAGTCCATGTTTTACTAATTTAGTCCAGTCCGCGTTTTACTAATTTAGTCCAGTCCGCATTTTACTAATTTAGTCCAGTCCATGTTTTACTAATTTAGTCCAGTCCGCATTTTACTAATTTAGTCCAGTCCGTGTTTTACTAATTTAGTCCAGTCCGCATTTTACTAATTTAGTCCAGTCCATGTTTTACTAATTTAGTCCAGTCCGCATTTTACTAATTTAGTCCAGTCCGCATTTTACTAATTTAGTCCAGTCCATGTTTTACTAATTTAGTCCAGTCCGCGTTTTACTAATTTAGTCCAGTCCGCATTTTACTAATTTAGTCCAGTCCATGTTTTACTAATTTAGTCCAGTCCGCATTTTACTAATTTAGTCCAGTCCGTGTTTTACTAATTTAGTCCAGTCCGCATTTTACTAATTTAGTCCAGTCCATGTTTTACTAATTTAGTCCAGTCCGCATTTTACTAATTTAGTCCAGTCCATGTTTTACTAATTTAGTCCAGTCCGTGTTTTACTAATTTAGTCCAGTCCGTGTTTTACTAATTTAGTCCAGTCCGTATTTTACTAATTTAGTCCAGTCCATGTTTTACTAATTTAGTTCAGTCCGCGTTTTACTAATTTAGTCCAGTCCATGTTTTACTAATTTAGTCCAGTCCGCGTTTTACTAATTTAGTCCAGTCCAGGTTTTACTAATTTAGTCCAGTCCGCGTTTTACTAATTTAGTCCAGTCCATATTTTACTAATTTAGTCCAGTCCGTGTTTTACTAATTTAGTCCAGTCCATGTTTTACTAATTTAGTCCAGTCCGTGTTTTACTAATTTAGTCCAGTCCGTGTTTTACTAATTTAGTCCAGTCCGTGTTTTACTAATTTAGTCCAGTCCGTGTTTTACTAATTTAGTCCAGTCCGTATTTTACTAATTTAGTCCAGTCCATGTTTTACTAATTTAGTTCAGTCCGCGTTTTACTAATTTAGTCCAGTCCATGTTTTACTAATTTAGTCCAGTCCGCGTTTTACTAATTTAGTCCAGTCCAGGTTTTACTAATTTAGTCCAGTCCGCGTTTTACTAATTTAGTCCAGTCCATATTTTACTAATTTAGTCCAGTCCGTGTTTTACTAATTTAGTCCAGTCCATGTTTTACTAATTTAGTCCAGTCCGTGTTTTACTAATTTAGTCCAGTCCGTGTTTTACAAATCGACTCTTTAAACCAGCTTAAAAGCTGAAAAAGAATCGCTCTGAAAGGACGCTATATTAAATCTACGCTTGTAACCTGTTCATTGCCATCGCGGATGATAAGACATATGTGTTTAAAAATCTGTTCGTATTCACATTGGGAATTATAAACTCACGATGACTTCTCAAAGAGTGAGACTGGACCATTCGCATTGGAAGTAGGTTATGAAGTTTATGATCCGTACTGTTTTCGATGCTTTTAAACAACTTCAGACAGGCTTCATCTCGTCTAGCATGAAGAGTTTGTAGGTTGCTATACTTTAAACAATCCGTATAGCCACAACCCGGATAGATGATAGAAAGTACTCTTTGTTGTACACGTTCAATAAAATCTTGAAGATATTTGGCAATTCATAGTGAAAGACCTCAGAACTATATTCAAGAGTTGGTCTTAAACAAGTGCAGTAGAAGAGCAGTATATCTGGTATTGGGATTTTTGCTCGTTTAAGCTGGATGATAAAGTATATCCTCTTGTTAGCGAAGCCAGCCTGGAAATTTTGTCCCGCTATGGAAATTTTGATTACTCATGTTTTTAGAAATTTATTGTTTTCACAGTAAATGAACAGCTCAAATATTAAGATAGCGGGACAAATCGTCAGGTTGGCTACGCTATTGATAATTTTAGAGCGATTAAAAAAAAACACCATCCGTTGGATAGCCCTATCCAACCACAGGCATTGTTCTTACAACAGGCCCTTGGCATCTAAAAATACGATTAATTTTGTCCTTTCTAATGGTGTGGTAATGATTATGAGATTTATACCCACCCGAGGACCATACGTCAGAGGAACTCGTAGGAAATGGCAACTTTATAAATTATTTTACCAACATTGCAAAACTGAATGTTAAAATTATTTATCGCCACAGAAATATAAGATTAATGAATTGGAGCTTCAGTGTCCCTTAATGCTTACTACTTTAAATTTAGTCGGATCACATTACAATTTTTCTTGCAACTCGCAATGCAGTTATACTTTTAACTGTGTTCCCCAGCTTACATCATAACAAGACGCCGGCTCAGGCGTTCACTCGGGCTACAGTTATCTCGCTTGAGCTTGTAACTTCTAATTTTTAGTGTGAAAATAACAGTTTTATGACGTAATCTGATGTTGTCAAAGCGGTCGTGACACGCGCGCGAGAAACGATCCTGGGACGATTTCGATTCGTTCGAAGACTTCGTGCAACCCACGTGTGAAAAAAGGAAAAACCGAGCCCAGCTTTCAACTCGTTCTACCTACCTAAATAAAATTGTGTGAAGGAGCAGCCTTCACTTAATATATTGCATTTAGTACGTTTGGCTTTGTTATAAAGCATTTACACCCAAAGCAACTCAACGTATGCGAGCGTATGAGTAAAAGTTTACGCTTGGCCTGG